CAAACCTAATTCTGATAAGCTACGTCTCGTCGTGGACCACACTGCTGGTGAATTCTCGCTCAACTCCATGATCGATTCAGATGCCATCAAAGGAACTAAGCTCGATGGTTTACATTCGCTGGGAGCGTCGCTGCTTCAGTTTCGGCAACAGCACCCTCATGAACAACTAGTTCTATTCAAATCGGACGTCTCGCAAGCTTTTCGTAGGTTACCAATGCATCCGCTGTGGCAGACCAAGCAGGTGCTAACGGTACGAGGACAACGCCATGTAGACCGTAATAACAACTTTGGAGGAAGAGGATCCCCCAAAGTTTGGATCTCTTTCATGTCCCTGGTCGCTTGGATCGCTATCCATCACGCGTTAATTGAGGCACTCAAGTTATATATGGACGACTCTTTTTCATTCGAACTCGCGGGGAAAACGTTATACTATGAACCCTATGAATGTTTCTACCCGGAAAAGCAAACTCGACTACTACGTCTCTGGGACGAACTTGGTGTCCCTCATGATCGTCCAAAGCAAGTCTTTGGTTGTCCTCTGACAGTCATAGGCTTCGAAGTCGACCCTAATGCCATGTCGGCTACCTTACCTTCACACAAGAAAGACGAGCTGGTGATGCACTTGCGTCAATTCGGCGGAAGGAACTTTCGGTGGACACTTCGCGAGTATCAACAACTCGCGGGGTGGTGTGAATGGAGTTTTAACGTCTTTCCATTACTCAAGCCTGGACTCTCAGCTATCTACGAGAAGATACGAGGGAAAGACCAACCACACGCTCGTCTACATGTCAACAATGGCATCATCTTCGAATTGAACTGGATGGCAGATCATATGGAGAAGCTGCCCGGGCTACTATTCTACAAAGCCTTGGACTTTAACCCACTGTCTGAGGACGTGGTAGTAGTCTACACGGACGCATCAGGATTAGGAATGGGTCTATGGTTTCCTCACGAGAACTTCGCTGGTCAGTCGCCATTGCCCATTGAAGCTCCCAAAGACACCATCTTCTTCTTTGAGGCCCTCGCAGTGTGTTCGGCCATTCATGCCATACCGAACATGATGGAAAGCCCACCTAGGATGCTCATTTACACCGACAATTCCAACACAGTAGCAATGTTTAACTCACTTCGTGCTCATCCCCCTTATAACTCCATCATTCTAGCGGCAGTGGACGTCCTGCTGGAGTATCAAGTAGACCTGCGTGTCGAATTCATCCCTGGTTCGGAGAACAGGGTAGCCGACGCACTTTCGCGATTCCAGAACGAACGTGTATTGGAGATAGCTCCTGCCGCGAGCTTCTTCGATTTCGAACCCCCTCGAGATGCGCTGGGGGCAGCGAAAAAATGATGAATGTATCTTCATCGTCCAGGCAACCTCTGAGGGAAGCTTGGACACCTGAGCGCCTCTTGTACGAGCGCTCAGTAGCACTTGGTTTCGCTATTGACTCAACAACAGCATCTGTGTACAACTCGCATCTGAACTCATACATCACCTTCTGTCGACTGCATCACCTGCCAATCGATCCAACGATTGATACACTATCTTTTTACGTGGTTTGGTTATCGCATCACATCGAACCACGCTCCGTCGACTCTTACCTTTCAGGAATCTCGAGTCGACTCGAAGACACGTATCCTGACGTCCGTGCGGCTCGACGTTCATCGCTAGTCGTACGGACACTTCGTGGCTGCAAACGCCATTTGTCAAAACCGGTACAAAGGAAATTACCTTTGAGTATCGACGACTTGCAGCAGGTCCAAAGGAAGCTCGGTTTAGAGTTAGAGCACGACAATAGTCTGTTCTTAGCTCTGCTTTTCACTGGGTTTCTGACTCTGCAACGACTGGGAGAACTCACTTGGCCTGATGCAGTGAAGCATCAATCTTACAGAAAAGTCCCTCTCCGACACACTCTCTCCATCACGGCAAGAAGCATCTCCTACACGCTACCTTATCAGAAGAACGATGGCTTGGGGACTGGGAGCACCATCCTCTTGTTATCGGATTCCGTTCTCGACAACGACCCACTGCCGGTGTTACGTCGTTACTTCGCATTCAGAGACGGGTCTTTTCCCTCTCGCCCAGCGCTGTGGTTGACAAGCGCTGGTTCGATTCCCACACGCTCTTGGTTTCTTCGGCGTCTGCGCCAATATTGTGGCTCGGCCATGTCGGGTCACTCGATGAGAGCAGGAGGAGCCACTGCACTGGCTATAGCAGGTATGACGCCTGATCTTATTCAAGCTGCAGGGCGGTGGTCATCGGACGAATTCAAAAAATATATACGCCAACATGCATTCTTGCTGAACGCACTGTTACACGGGTCCGCACGGACCACACAAATGACATGAGACATCTCGCGTGTCATTCAGGACAAGGATCTGCTTCTTCAAATAAGAAAATGGCACCAAGACCAGAAAGCAAAAGACAACACCGCATATTAAAAAAAAAAAAAAAAAAATAGGCCCTTTAGCATGTCCTTCGCGCCTCCGTCGCTCACATCTTCTCTTTCGCGCTTCTCCTTCGCACATCCGGCTCTCACTTTCATCTTTTCTCCCACCGGAGCTTTTCTATTGCTCACTTGAGCACGTTTTTTCCTCGAGACCCGCGTCTTCTACACTCTGTGCTATCATGTACAGTACTTCGTCTCTCGGTTTCGCAATAAAATTCAACGAGTCCCCCGAGCATGGAGCTGGGGGACTCCGCTTGCCTAATCACCGCGAGACCTTAGCGTAAAAAGTTGATTCATCGGGGTTAAACTTGTTTAACCAAGTTGAATCGATTCACGATGCTGGTAAGCCTCATGACTCAGCGTCATTCTTACAGGCCCCTTTTCATCTGGATATTTAAGTGTCTAACTGACGTGATCCGTTTTCACGTCGCACACTTGTCCCCTAAAGCACTTCTGCTCGTGCACGTTCTGCACTATCTACTCTATATATTTTTCGTCACCCACCCACCCTACGTATCTCCCTTAGGTTAGCATGTCCTTCACGCCTCCGTCGCTCACATCTTCTCTTTCGCGCTTCTCCTTTGCACATCCGGCTCTCACTTTCATCTTTTCTCCCACCGGAGCTTTTCTATTGCTCACTTGAGCACGTTTTTTCCTCGAGACCCGCGTCTTCTACACTCTGTGCTATCATGTACAGTACTTCGTCTCTCGGTTTCGCAATAAAATTCAACGAGTCCCCCGAGCATGGAGCTGGGGGACTCCGCTTGCCTAATCACCGCGAGACCTTAGCGTAAAAAGTTGATTCAAAAAAGACAAATGGTATTGTTTAATTATGTGACGGAAATAATAATAATTAAATATTAACAGTGCAGAGAACAATGGCAGAAAATGCATAAAACAAAAGACAGAGTCCTAGCTTTCGTGCTGTTGCGCTCGTGATGGATACAAGTCTCGCAGACCGACTGGACAACGTGCTTGCATGTATGGAAGAAAATTTTCTCACTCCAGCAGACTTCATCAACCACATTCTTGGAAGCACAGAACACGAGAGCGCAAGAAACTCGCTAACAACGAAGGCAGTTAGAATATGTGCTGCCCTGTACAGAGAAGAACATGCGCACTCACATGTAACACAGTGGGCAATAACAATCGTGCGGGACATGCTGCGCACTGAGGTGACAGATTTGTCACTCGAAAAGCACGGACTTCATTTCAAAGCCACGTCTGCAACTGTCGAACAACTGGAGAGTGCATTCATGCATCAGCTCGCAGAAAAAATGCAGGAGGTGGCACCTAACCTGTGGCATCTATTCTTCGCGCTGCTCGACAGCACACTTCAGCAGCGGCGAGCTATGGGTGGGAATGTGAAGGTGGGCAATGAGGACATGGATATTTATGTTGAAGAGAGGGACCTTGGAGAATTTGGAGGTGACGACATTGGAGGAATGATGCGCGAAGAAGACGACGTGAATGAAGAAGCTGTTATTCCACCATTGTTGAATAACAGGGGAATCCAGAAGGTAAGAGTCTTTCCTGAGCTGGTGGGTGAGATGGTGAAGACATCTTTGTTCTCAAGCTGGTTGTGAGCGGACTGGAGTTGCCAAGTACAAGGAGTAAGACCCAGTTTCATTTCTGCAATGCGTTTCATTTCTGCAAAGCTCGGTACTTCGAACCGGCCAGCTGGCGATGACATCAAGATACGTGACTTAGAAGATGTTAAGTCTCAGAAAGGGATTATCCATCATGTCACTAAAGGCACGTCACGCTAAAGATTTTTGACAATAATATTCGATTGCTCCCATTTCTTTTGGGATATGTCAGCGCGCTCGGAAGGCTTTTTCGGTGGGACAAATACATACAAACCTCGCGCCACTACAAGTTTTGCCAGTCGGCTTGGTGTGTAGAGTCTCAAAGTTGCGGTGTTTGAAATTATGTTGTACATATTTGGTTTTCGGCTAAGGTAACAGTATGAAGACTCTCTCACACCTGCCGATGGTTTGGAGTCTGCATATTCCGGTGAGCACTACTTACAAGGGGGACTAACATGTCTTGATGACTGGATCATCAGTACGAATGCGCAGGTCTAGGTGTTTACAGGCATGCTGGCCATAATTTGAAGCTTTAAACCTCTTCTCGTAGGTTGTTTCCCCAGCATACAGTTAATCAAGTCACGGAGCTCCGAGTCCAGACGTGCATTAAAAGATTGCCAAAAGGTCACCTTGCTCGTGTCTACTACGTGTGTCTCGTGGCACATTCGTATCCTCAAGAAGTGCTTTTTACTGTATCACGAGAAACACGTTTTCTGCATGCACCGTCAGCATGTCTATGCTTCTTCCGCAACACCCTTGCAAGTGGACGATGAGGGCTCGTCGGCTCAAGGCTACATCGCTCCTTGTCTTCTTCCCTCTGCCAGAGTGGCCATTCAGGTGGACTTCAGCAGCTGCTTCACCGGCTGTAAAAAAACCTACACTCAGTCGTAAACAAACAATTTCGGTATGTCGAGTCCGTTCTTTGGCTAGCTGAATACCAATGTCACGCGTCTAGCTGGTCGAAATGCTTCCCTTTGCCTCATCAATCTGTATCCTTGGTGCTCTCGTCTGTGGCTCTTTCGCACTACAAAGCTCTCCGACAGTTTCTAGTGCCCCCGATGTCAGCAGCTCGAAAATATATACAAGTGCTATCTCAAGCGTCATAGCTGCGGTGACGCCCATGCTTGCTTTAATATACTTTTGTCCACTCTACCTTCTGTATCGGCATTCAAAGCGGCACCCAAGGTCGATCAATAAGATATCTGGAGCGCGAGTTCAGCAGTATGGCCCACGTTAGTATTTTATCCTCACCTATTGCTGCCTCGTTGTTGACGCACCTTGACCTTGCATTGCCTAGTCGTGTATGTATTCTTGCTGGCTGTTAGCTTGGCAGAGGTGAGAATAATGATCCAACTTTCGTACAGAAACATGCATGACCTCTTTGTTATATCAGGTCGCAGATGCCACTTGGTTGTTGTTGCAATTTCGCTTCAACAACAATGCACCTGATCCCATTACTCGCAGTGGTGTACGCTTTCTCTTGTGCGTTTGTTTCGCGATCTGAGGTAATATGGGATTGAGCATGCAGTCAAATAGGTTTTCAGCCTGTTGGACAACGGTGACCTCAGGCACATACACTTTGTTCTTCCTCGATCCCTTGTGGTCCAGACGCCCAATTGCGTCTATAGGTACACAAGCAGTCTGGGTGCTTGTGACATGGATATTCTGGGTTGCCGGAGCAGGTCTGTTCAACAAGTCGTTCCCTCGCTTGTTCATGAGTGGATCATGCAATGGAGTTGTGTATTGTGGTCAATTGCAAGTGCTCTTTGGTTAGTAAGCTGTCGCGTAAGGGATATACGTAAACTGATAGGCAATTTCAGCCCTTGCAGTTGTTCAGATGTGCGTATGTCGAGATCATCTTGGATTGTTAACTGACCACGTTCAATAGCCTCACCTTGACCTTTGGAATGCTTGTGATTACCTGGCTTGTTTGGCAATCGGCTCGCAGTATTCGCCATCCGATGGTTATCCGAGTTGCAGCCGCTATATAGGCACCACCATAACTCTAGCGAGTAACTTTGAACACCGCCCTCGAGACCATTTCCGCATTACCGCCATAACTAGTTACGCTCTAGAGTCTCATGAACAATAGTGACTGCTGTATTATTATATGGGGCTCTGGTAGATACGTGACAGTGTGTAGCATATATATTATGTTGTGATTCATTCAATTTGCCACTGGAGCTGGCGCTGGAGCAGTGACGACTATGCTTCCGTTCCGTCTCCGAAATAGCACGATATTGATTGGCCAGTGTAGTAACGGGAAAAACCGGCGACTTTTCGGCTCGATCGGGCTCAAATCATTTTTGAAGCGAAAAAGTTGCCATACCAAAAGTATCCGCTGGTCCATCACCATCTCGCCTTCCAGGCTCTTGTGTATTAATCCTTTTCTCTTTCTTCACCTCATAGACTTTCACAATGCCTTACGCTCCAGGTATGCTCATAGTTTTTGCTGCAGGGCGGAGGCTCAGCGACTCTGTTTAAGGTGACGCTGGTAAGGGTGCTGCTATCTTCAAGAGAAGTTGTGCTTTGTGCCACACCGCCGGTGCTGGCGAGCCCAACAAGGTTGGCCCTAACTTGCATGGGTAAGTGCATTTGTTACTGCTCTTAACCCTCGCTAAGCGTCTCCCAGTCTTTTCGGTCGCAAGACTGGCTCCGTAGAAGGTTTCTCGTACACGGCGGCCAACGTGAAGAAGGGTGTTATTTGGGGAGAGGACACTCTTTTCGCTTACCTTGAGAACCCCAAAAAGGTTTGTTGCAGGCGCAGATTGCTTCTGTGCATCATCGCAGACTGATGCGCTTTGAATTTTTTCACAGTACATCCCAGGAACCACTATGGCTTTCGTTGGTCTCAAGAAGGAGAAGGACAGGAATGACCTCATTACATACTTGAAGGAAGCGGTACGTCATTTTTCCTCAAGAATAGCTGTGAGATCCAATGCCAACGATTTGTTCCCGCTCCAGACCGCCTAATTTTATATCCACCACGGACATCCCATTCCTCATACAGACTACAGATATAGTACGGCTTTGCATCAGGTCTTAGTATACTAGACGGCCACCCTTGTTCGCATCTCCTCGCATCCTTTACCCCCGCTCATACAACGATATACTTTTTTCTCTTGCTTGTTGGTAGTCGGCGATATGTCAAGTTGCCTCCATACACCATAGGATAAGTGGACTGATCAGCCTATTAGCGATGACATGCAAAGATACACGGTGCGTAACACTATGATATTCCAGCGCAAGTCTACGTGTTTCTATTGAACACGAGGTTGAAAAAAATAGATAAATGATTACACATTGTCTGCAGAGGGGCCGAAAGTGCTATTCCTCTCATGCATCATACATAACCATATAAGACGGGCGGATGGCGTCATTCGTGTAACATACAAGCTCATCATAATTCAATGATCCTCCACTCACCACCTCCGCGAGGACCTAGACTAGTTGAGAGCAAGTACAAAAGGCAAGAGGCAGGGCACATACGGAGTCATAACCAGTTGGAGGTGCGGTCAGTGATGTGTTGTCTTGGGTCATCTTATGGCCTTTGCCAACAACCACTTTGTTTAGCAATATTGCCTTCAACATCGATGGATTAACATTCGTGGAGTAGTCGTTCGATTTCGATGACGTCGACGAAGTATAGATGCCGTGACCAAACCTGACATACGCGTCAAGATACCATGATTGATTAGTTATAAAGGGTCACATACCGGCCCCAGCCAGTCTTCTTGCCGAAGAGATTCAGGTTGTAAGACGTCTTGAGAATGCAGCACAGAGAACATGTCTGAGATGGGCACAACGTGCAGTTGCCATTATCGCCCAGATTGCATTCCCTGGTCGTTCCGTGCCAGCGACGGTTCTCGTTCCCTGCCGAACGCCCAGCTGCAACAAAGTTGCCGCGACTCTCGACAGCAGCACTGCTCCGTGTCAGCCAAAACATCAGCATCTACGTGAACGAAGACTGACCGATATGCCTCGTATTTAGCAATGGAGGCTGGCGATGAGATCACTTTGTGCACCCTCCGAACTGTCGGGCATGGAGTTTGATGTCTCCACGATGCCTTAAATTGGTCAGCGACTACAGCACATAAACGTTATCGATCGCTCGCACTAACATGCGAGTGCTACTTACCGCTCTTGAACGTATCGTGTCCTTGTGGGACTTCTATGAGCCCTGGGGCATTCATCTCAGCCCTCGAGGTGCACGCCTGACTGCAGAAGTGACCCTTGCCCTTGACCGCCTTGCCGCATAACAAACAACCATTGGCTGTCGGACTGCATCGAGAAACGGTAGTAAGTACTGTCAACACCCGATGGAAGAATGATTGAACGGACTTGGTTGGTTGTGTAGGTTGTGCAGCCGACGTTCCTGCAGCCTTCGCCTTTTGTGCGCAGGTTTTGCCGCAGTACGAATGGGTCGTCGTGCCATCATTGTACTTGGGTTGCTTGTGACAATGCTGCAGTGACACATGTCAGTTGACTTTATCTTTAAATGAGTATCAATCATCGTACGTCGCACAATCTGCGAGTGGCTTTGCTGGTCTTGTTTCGTTTAGGTTTGCTCTTGGGAACATGCTTGGTTTGTCCTGCAGTCGCGCAGGTCTTCCCGCAGTACGAGTGCGTCTTCTGTCCATCGAAGTACTTGGGACGGACTTTACAAATCTGTAAACGGCGTTGGCTTTTGAGAAGCAAAGACCTTATTCGAATTACATACGTCACATATTGCGAGAGTCGCAGTTCCGGTGAACTGGGTAGACACATTAGCGGGCACAGGCTGTTTAGTTTGAGGTGCTTGTCCCTGTGAGGCGATGTACTGGCCAGCCATAGTGCCGAGCACAGAAAGTGCAGCATGCATGGGTGGGATCGTTGCCATCTTGCTGGTTTAGGGATACTAGGCTTGTCTTAAGCAAGACGATACTAGAATATGGGCTAGATACTCGGTGAATCAGGCTCTCCAGGAGCTTTGAGTCTTTGGATGAGTTGTGATCTGTGATGTTCGAAGCAAACAACAATTTATAGCTGACACGCAGACCATCATGGAGAGGGGCCAATCGCTCTTCGATGAAACGCGTTTGGCGCGTGTTCTCCGCGAGGGAAAAGAGGCACCATGGACTCTGTGCAGCCTTGGAATCAAAGACACTGCATATTAGCACGGAGATCTCGTGATCCGAGCGAGCAGGATGATGCGAGGCTGGGTAGTGATATGACAGTCGTATCGATTGGATGCACGATTTGCCGCAGGGTGCACCGTGCACAGTTCGCGCATTTTCCTCTAGAGTACCATATAAGTACAACCACATAGTATATCGATGGATATCAGGCTTTTAGGTCCAGACCATTATTGAAACAGTTGCCGGAATGACGTTTACCGCACGACCGATGCCGAGATATGCTCCAAGTAAGCGTGTCTTGTTATATGTAGGCCCGAGAGGTGTTTAGTCGCCGCTCATGTGGTATTTAATATTCAACTCATGATAAAAGAAATTTCTTTTATCACTCGCGAACTCTTAAGTGTGAGGACACGACGTCAGCGGTTCTGCGGGGCAACCTGAATGGGTGGTGGAAGCGAAAGGACTATGTAATAGCACAGCCACATCAAGTCTGAATCCACGCTTCGCTGCACAAATTTTCATCATTCTGCGGCAAAATGTTGATTATACAAAAAGTAGATGGCTGCTTCGAATAAATAATTAAACAGTGCCTCTCGAGCGTCCCCATGCTTATCATGGATGTGAGGCTAAATTCAAACGTTGGTTTCATGAGACTAACGGTGTCTTGAATATCGTTGACATCAGGGTCTTAAAGCTTGGCTTGGGCGAATTTTTGGGTTTATGTCCATATACGACGAGATATGCAGGACGCACAGCGTCATTTGTGTAGCATACGGTTTCTGGGTCAAATATGAAAGGTAAGTAAAAATCCACAGATGAACAATCAATTTAAACTCGCCCTCATAGTTCAGGTCCCAGCCAATCTCACCAGTAATCTGCGAAGATGTGAGTAGATGATTATCAAACGATGAGGAACTCACGGAATCGAAACCATCGGGAGGTTTTACGAGGTTAGGTGCATTCCTGTACCGTCTGTATGGCCTCCCGACTACAACACGATTGACTAGCAAGGTGCGGAGGCGTGCATCTTGTGACAAGTTGCATGAATAATCGTCAGCCTCTTTGCTGCAGTTTAGCAGGTGCACCGATGTAATGAAGGAAGATGAACAGACTAGATGAGCAAGCAGAGGTATATATTCCATGCCCAAACCTACGATACCAACTGTCAGAACGGCACACTAGATTCCAAATGTGTATTCTCACCTCTTGAAAGCGTTCTTCGTGCCTATGCAGTATTAGACAGTGCATAGTAAAGTGATCGAGAAAAGCCTTACCGCATTTCTTGATATCAAAAGATGACCGTAAGATAGAACAAAGATAGCACTCTTTGAGGCCACATAGCAGAATGTTCCTCGACGTCTCTCCCAGGAGACATGCCCTGTTTGTACCATGGAAGAGCAACTTCTCGTTCCCTGCCTCGTTCCGAGCTCTTACGTGGGCCTGCACCTGCTTCCTATCATGCAGCCATGATCAGCGCGCACTATTTCCACATCGAGCGTTTGTCAGCACCTGTACTGTAGATATGGCTCAAGATTGCTGTCGGGCCAGAGGATCTTAAAGATTCCTTGTATATGTGGCCTGACTTTCTTGCCATGTCGCCATCCCTTGTTGAAAAGGTCTTCCACTGAAAGAGCAGAATTAGCTAGCGCCGACTGCTGAGAAGGATGAAGCCACCTTCGGCGAAGTGAGCACTATCACGACTCAAACACACCAAGCGGCTGCGCCGGCCTGCGGAGCAGTTGACAGGGTTCTCCAAAGAGAACTCGTCCAAGTTTAAGGATTCAAATGACGAAGTTGACATAGATAGCAAAGTCAGATAGACAACCAAGCCCTGGCCACACGTCCATAAAATATGATCTTGATATTTCAATGCGGTTGAGGTGCACCCTGCATGCTATCCGCATAGCACCATTGGCCATAACGAATTTATCAGGCCTGTCCACTTGCACGATGAGGAACCTCGTGTCGATGAAATCGATGCGAAGTGCATTGATGAGTGCAACCGAAGAAGACGTAACAAAGGCGGATTACAATCACTGCCCAATCTCAAAGATTGTATCCATGCTGCAAATGCCCTGCAGCCACGACAAGAACATGAGGAGAAGTGAATGCAAGGCGAGTCCGAAAAAGGAACAGAAAAGGAAAGCAAATAACATGAAGTTGCTTAATAAGCTCACTGCTTTCCATGCCCCCTCCATGCAGAGGGCCTCGCGGCCTTAATCGATGACGAACTCTCCCAGATTTGAACACATGATAGGATCCACCGACCACGGGCCAGACACTTCCTTCCGAAATACTCGTCCCTGCCGAATCTGTTCCGATCGTATCGCCTTCTTGAAGGCCTATAAGAACCTTTAGGCCAGGAAAGCTGTTTCGGTTTCTAACTAGACTTTTCACTCGATTGCCCATCAAAATTTACCAAAATACTATACGCAATCCTCGCTGTCACTGTCGCTATTGCTGTTGTCCTGCTTGGAATGCTTGACAACCGCATGATCATGAAACTTGCTAGCATATTCCGAGTTGGTGTCAATTCTCCTTCAGATACGCCACAGTCAACACCTGCGGCGCGTCGGGCTCGACCCGCTACCCAATACTACTCAGTGCCATCGAAGTAAGTACCTTGATTGTCCACATTATCGTGATGTTGAAGCTGCTCTGGGCACGTACCAAGCTTGAAGCTGCCTTCTCCTGGTGTGCAAGACGACGGAGAATCAGAAGCTTACTATCCTCCGCTGACCGCTCCGCCAGAACCTGTGGGCTCATCAGTAGCACCCTTTCAAAGAAGGGAACGCATTTTATTTTATAACAAACATGAACCTTACTACGAATTCACGAATTTCTCGCCACACGACGTTGTCTACGCTGGGAAGAGATACCCAACTAGCGAGCATCTCTTCCAGTCTTTCAAAGTTTGTCAAAGATATTGATTCTCTGATATCTTTCTGACACTCTTGGATGCGATGGAACAGTTTTTGGACTCCCAGCCAGCTATCGCGGAGCACATTCGCAAGTGTGGGGACAGGCCAAGTGCCGTGTTCGACGAAGCTCATCGTCACCAGAAATGGGTTCGATCTGACTGGAGACAAGTAAATGTTGAGAAGGTAACTCGGAAGTTTACTGGCTGTCAGTACCTGACGGGGGCTACATTTGTTCTGACCTACAGATGGAAGCCACACTTCGACTCAAGTTCACTCAGCATACAGATCTAAAGGCATTGCTTCTTGGCACTGGTAATGCTGAACTAGTTGAGGTAAAACTAGGTGATTATGAGTATTTCTTCTGATCTCTGATCTCGTGTATAGAACTCCCCAAAGGACTTCTTTTGGGGGATAGGTGCTGATGGCTCTGGACGCAACGAACTGGGAAAAGCACTTGAGAGAGTGCGGGATGAGCTTCGTAAGTACTCATCCACGAAATAACGGAAATATTTAATTACTAGCCAACGTGAAGGATACGATGACAAACCAAACAGGGTGCCCCCTGCCAGGCGTGACACGTCCCGATTTTCGTTGCAAGACCTGACGTCGCTGGTTGTGGCAGTAGCATCTCCCCAACCTTCAATCCAATCATCGCAACGCCGCTCCGTTGTTTCCACGGGCATGGGAATCGGCCCACCCTCAACAGTACTACCTCAACATCAATTCCAAGCGCCGCAGCGTCTCTCCATTGTTCCCGCAGGCATGGCGATCAGCCCGCAGTCAGCATCTCCTCAGGACGCTGGGCTATGCGAGGTTCGTTGATGCTGTCCTTGGCTTCGCGCTTCTCTAACTTTTTTGTAGTTTTGCCAGCAGAAACCGAAATATCAGCACCATCCTTACTGTGGTAGGACATGCGCTTCGCAAGCAGCGACCATGTGCAACGTTAGTATGCATCTCTGGCCAGCGGTCTGTCGTTTCTGACCGAGACATTCTTTAGCATTGTCGCAGCAAACCAAAGTACGGCAAACATCCTTATTGTTCAAGGACTTGCGCTGTGCAAGCTGGAAAGGCAACCTAGATTTGAAAAAATCTTCCCGTTTGGATAATTGGTACTGTAAGATTATACTGCGTCGTGTGCGAGCCCATATTTGCTATCTATTACCGTCTCAATATGTCTGCGTCCACCTAATTACCGCCCTTCCATAAAGCCAGGTGTCGATCTCCTCAGGGTCAATTTGAGCATCAGCGACGAACAACTACCCTTGGTAGATGTTGCTCTGTTTCTTCTGTTCGCCAAATTCATTTCTAATCAATAAGAACATTAATACCGGAATACAGCAGATCGATGAATTGAATCAGGTATTTAGAGTCTGGGGGCCACACAGCGGCACGCACTTGCAACACGATAATAGAAAATATCTTATAGTACAAACAGTTGAAGATGGGTTAAAGAACTAAATCTATAGACTATTCATTGTGCTCATTCAAGCATCCGAATGAAAGCATCGTCGAAGACCATCTGCGAGACATCAAAATGTTAGTTGCCTGAACAAAAAGAATGCAGAAATAAGACATGCCTCGGATGGGACTGAGGGCTCTACCTGGGCTGAATCGTTTGGGGCTCGTTGCACGAGGTAACTCCTTTTCTCTCAAAGTCGGACTGACAGAAGGTGAAAGCACGCCGCTTTTGTTGACAGCCAGGTTCATATCGGAACCCAAAGCCTCTCGGGCGCCTTGTATAGGCGACGGAGGGTGAGAAAGAACCATCGCAATGGTGTCATGGTACACGGCCTCATCGAGTCCGCCGCGAATGGTGCTCCTATTGCTGCGTCGTCCACGTGTTTGTGGTGTCAATGTATCAGGCAGCTTCGTTCGCGTGTGCGGTGCATCAACGGCACCAGCCTTTCGACTGCGAGAAGAAGAACAAGGGTCCTTCGCATAGACCTTTCGCGTTGAGTCGCACGAGCCGCCCGATGGGGCGTCCAAGTCCATGATCGATCTGGACCGATCGCGAACCTTTCTCGAGAATTTATTGAGTGGCGAAGACTCGGAAGAGTGTCCAAGTTCCTTTGCCCTTTGGCAGTGCCCATACACAATACTGATGGCATCGGTCATGTCGCCAATGTTGTGGATGTGCAAATGACATTTGAGCGCTTCAAGATCGCGAAGGACATTGGTGCATCCAGGACGTTCACAGCGAATCATGGCTCCAGGAGTGTAGTGGCCGGTCTGGACCATTTCCAATCCCTGAAGCTGCTATACAGGCATCAGTACGGAGTAGCATGGGGTGTGAGTAGTGCTTACTGCCTGCGCTACGCCTTCCGGGTCATGATGAAGCAGACGAACCTCTGGCTCGGGACGCTTCTCAAGATCGATCATGAATCGTCCGTCGTCAGTTACGGTATGTGTGCATGTCGAATCCCTGTTTTTAGGAGTAGCGGGAAGTTTTTTTGCAGTGTTGAGGGAGCAGACGTTTATAGTCCCTTGGTCCTCGATTGTCTTGCTTCGTTGTAGGTATTCCTGGACGATTCTCTGAGCCTCTGTTACTCCGTCGGTTTGCTTTTGATGTTTCTCGTCGAGTTCCTCAGCCTCGGATAGAATGCTATCGCTTGGCTTGGGATCTGCAGCACATGCCACGGGTCCAGTAGTAGACTCCCATGCAGATACGAAGCCGGTGAGAAGGCTTCCATCGTCGTCGGCATCCTCCTCGCCGAGAGACATGGACGACCCCTCTACAATTTGATCGGGGATAAGCATGGCGTATCTACGAATGTCTGCCTTGGAGTTATCGAATCCATCAACGCCCGTGGCAGTAGTTGATTCTGAGTTTGACATGATTAACCGGTAAAAATGAAAGCAGACAGCACAGAGAAAAGCAGGGAAAGAGAAGGATGGTGAGGTACTCCATGAGGGATAATAGGTGATGTTTTATACGCGTAAGAATGTGGACCGTCGACGCTTTTGTGGATGTGGACGCTCTAAGTTGGTGGTCGGACACTCCGCAAAGTTTCAATGATTCCCATTTCGGGTATAGCCCAGCTCTAGGGTTAAGGCGCACCTCAAGGCCTCAGGGCCGGCTTCTGAGGAGTACAAACCAAGCCCTGGCTGTACGGTGGAAGGTCCAATTAGAAATTGAAACAGCTTTTCCGGTGGTCCAGAGGTTCTCACATGCCTTCAAGATGGCGATAGTATTACGATCGGAATAGACTCAGCAGGGACGAGTATATCTGATTGAAATGTGTGGCCCGTACCATTAACGGATCCTGTCATGTTGCAACCTGGAAGACTTCATCATCGATTAAGGCCGCGAGGCGCTCTGTATAGAAGGGCATGGAAACCAGCGAGTTTATTTACCTTCCTTCGCTTTGCGTTCACTTCTCCTCTGATCATGCGACGTGTTCTTGGTTGCAGAACATTTACTTAGTATTAAGCTCCGCCACAGCGTCAGAAGCGAAACTCACGTGAAAGGAGTGGCAAAACTTGGCAGAACTCTGGACTCGCAGTCTCAGATGTAACTAAGATATGATAACATTTATAGCTTGAGTTCGATAGGAAATGTAAACATTGCGGAGACGCTGATAACTCACCAGGCGCTAGAACCCAGGCTCGAGCCTCGTGACAACAACCTCTTGTACAAATGCAACTCCTCCTCTGCGCCTATTTAACCGGCGACTCCAATCGCTATAGTAGGACTCACCCATAGTCTACATGGGCAAAGTGGCACTCGATCATCGAATTATGCCAGTGAACTGTCGTTTCCTCTTCTAGATGTGTGCTTCCATTTCAAAGGCGTTGGTTCCTTCTGGCCGAGCGCTCACTGGCAGCGCTCAGGAACCGGCATCACATGTCCAGCTGAGCGATGTGCCGAAAGCTTGCCCGGTTCTTCCTCCCATTGTCTTTCTCCCCCACTGCCAGCAATATTGTCGGACGTTTCAAAATCGAGGCGCGACTCAAACAACAACAACAACAACAAAGACGTAGATGCTGAAGGAATTGACCAGCACAACGTTAAAGAACATATATCGTTGATATATCGAAGTATCGCTCTTCCCCGGATGCAAACAAGCAAGGACAAACATTCGCATCCGACCGAATCACGAGTCCACTCCCACTGGACTTTTACCACATTTACATCATAATATTCGTCCCATCATGTCGAATTTTCTTGCCCACCCAGCGGCAAATTTGAACTCATCAACGTTCGAACTGAGCTACCCAGCTCCCAGCCCAACCACTGTGTGTCTGACCTCAATCCATTTGCGATGGACGAAGCTGCAAAGTCAAACGCTACATGATCATTCTTCTTTGCGAAGTTCTGTCAAGATGTATTTCAAGGCTGGTACATCCATCACGAGGAGGCGTCCCGCACTACTCGGATGTGATAAGGATTCAGAGCGCTAACTATCACAAACTGTCAGAAATGGTTATCTTTATCCTCCCAGTTCTAGAACATGTGATGGAGCTGCCTGCAGGTAAGTCTTGGTATATAACGACGGACAACCCATAACAAACTCAAAACTACTGACTTGTCTTAAATGCCTCCATTGCCAGTGCTTTCGCCAATTGCTAGTTCTAAAAAATTCAATCTCAATGCTTCTGCTGTTGCCGGTTTCTTCGGTGGTGAGGAAGCTATCACTGCCATGGCTACTGTGCACCTGTATAAGGGGCGTAGATGGCTTGGCTGGTACAACTCCCCCGGCAGCTACATTATAGCCAAGGAGTTTGGCAGGATATCCAGGTCAAGATTTTGGAGTGGTCTTTTTCCTGGCTCCAATCATCCTCCAGTTGTTGCATTCAAGCTGGATGGGAAGACTGGCCCGAAATACGTGGCGTCACACTCAGGAACTGTCATGCAGCAGACAGGGCACCTTGCACATCTCCTGACGCAGGGGACAGATAACTCGGATGTAGTGCCAACTCCTCTTCCTGCCTCACGACATGCTACAATTTCACGCATCTCTATCGTCACTGTCCCTGAAATCACATATGACAACCTTCATGTGCAGACCATGAGCATTCACCACGCCGTCTTGGCCAGCTTCCCTATCCTGGTCAGCATCTGTACATGCATCTTTTCCGCCTTATTTGCAGACTGGTACTGCTTTGCGATGATCTTCCTCGGAATCATCTCTGGCGGTGTCACGTGTTTTGTCATCGGCTCTGGAGACCTTGATATTGACACGGTCAAGACTCCAGCGAAGGGTTCCCCTGCAGGAGACGGGATCCTCTTGATGAAGAACGACGTCATCATCTTGAAGGGAAAGGAAAAGGATGTGAATGTAATCACGAAGGGGAAATTTTTACTCAAGCTGAAAGGAGAACCAAAGTATACAGCTATTGGGCTGTGCTCGCTGCTCCTTGAGGTGCAGTTTCTGCTGCAGCTCCTCCTCATCCCCCAGGGATCGCTGATTGGTCAGACCATGTTTCTGACTTCAATAATTGCATCCTGGGCGTACAACTCCTTCCTTGCGTCCCTGGATGAGGAAAAATTACAACGGAAACTGTTTTGCGACACTATCGGACTTCGGCAGCTAACTGTGCTTAGTTTTGAAGCTAGCACTCGGACCAGCATGGCTGCATTCACATGCTTCGTTCTCTGCAAAGATTTACCAAGGCCTCTTCAGGGTATCAAGCCGATGAACATTCTGTTGGAGTTGGTGCCCAACGAGACGCCAGTGTGGCAGAAGTGGAGGGAGCAAGTGGTGGCTCAGGTCAAGAAAAAAGAGGGCGAAATGATCGATTTCCAATCTGAAAATGTTGATATGTCAGGGTTCGACGAGCATGACAAGGCACTTTTGAAAGACCTTCTGCAGGATGCGAAGGATGCGTACGATGGTTACATACAGATGAGCGACGAGCAACGATCGTTGAAAAATGCCAAATCATCCTAATACCACCACAATACGGTATTTCTTTGTCACCTATCTGATACGACAAACTATGTAATCTCAATTTTGCGAAAGGGTTCTACATGTACGTCCTAGATTATGGAGTTGCATCCCCATGGTAGCAGGAGAAGCAGGGTTGCAGTGTCAATTAACTTGTTGCTCTTCAAGGTGCCAGTGATATAACACGCAGCCAATAGCCAGCCTGCACAATCGCAACGAGCATTTTTGGAGGCGAATGTATATAACGAAGTGCAGCATGATGCTGTATATATATGGAAAAAGAGACGCTCAGTTTCAATCTGGGAGCTTTTGCTGTGCGCTGTGCTTTCGGCAGATGTTCTGTTTCTGCTGTTCGCTAAATTCATTTCCAATCAATAAGAACGTCGGAACACAGATCAGGGAATCAAATCAGAAAAGTCAGGTATTTGGCTGGTCTGAATAGGAAGAATCTGGGAGCCGCACAGCGGCACCCACTTGTAATACGATAATAAAAGTACGCTACTATGTTACAGTACACACAATTGAAGATGAGTGAAAGATCTAAATCTACATTGCACGGACTATTCATTATGCTCATTCACGCATCCGCATGAAAAGACTCGTCGAAGACCATCTGCGAGACATCAAAACGTTAGCTGCCCGAAAACAAAGAATGTAAAAAATAAGACATGCCTCGGATAGGACTAAGGGCTCTAACCGGGCTGAATCGTTTGGGGCTCGTCGCGCGAGGTGACTCCTTTTCTCTAAAAGTCGGGCTCACAGGAGGGGAAAGTACGCCGCTTTTGTTGACAGGCAGGTTCATATCGAAACCTAAAGCCTCTTGGGCGTCCTGTACAGGCGACGGAGGGCGGGAAAGGACCATCGCAATGGTGTCATGATACCCGGCTTCCTCTAGTCCGCTGCGAATGGTGCTCCTATGGCTGCGTCGCCCACGTGTTTTTGGTGTCGATGCATTCGATTTAATATGAGTGGCACTGGGCTTTCGACTGCGAGGGGGTGAATAAAGGTCCCTCGCGTGGACCTTTCGCTTTGAGTGTATGTCGCACGGCTGACCCAATGTGGCGTCCGAGTTCATGAACGATTTGGACCGATTGCGAACCTTTCTTGAGGATTTGTTAAGTGGCGAAGACTCCGTGGAAGAGTGTCCAGGTTCCTTTGTCCTTTGGGAGTGCGCAGACAAAACACTCATGGCATCGATCATATCGCCAATGTTGTGGATGTGCAAATGACGTTTGAGCGCGTCAATATCACGAAGGACATCAGTGCATCCAGAATGTGAACAATGTATTATGGTTCCAGGAGTGCAGTGACCAGCCTGAACCATTTCCAATGCCTGAAGCTGCTATACGGACATCAGTATGAAGTAGCATGTGGTGTGAGTAGTGCTTACCGCCTGCGCTATGCCTTCCGGGTCATGATGAAGCAAACGAATCTCTGGCTCGGGACGCTTCTCAAGATCGATTGTGGATTGACCGTCGTCGGTTATGGTGGTGTATGTCGAGTCCCTGTTGTTGGGAGTAACGGGAAGTTCTTTGACAGTGTCGATGGGGCAGACGTTTGTAGTTACTTGGTCCTCGATTGTCTTGCTTCGTTGTAGGTATTCCTGGACGATTCTCTGGGCCTCCGTCACTCCGTCGGGATGCTCTTGATGTTTCTTGTCGAGTTCCTGAGCCTCAGATAGAACGGTGTCGCTCGACTTGGCATTTGCAGGACATGCCACGGACTCAGCAGTAAACTCCCATGCAGATACGAAATCGGTGTAAAGGCTTGCATCGTCCTCCTCCTCATCGAGAGACAGGAATGACATCCCCTCTACAATTTGATAGGAAATGAAGGTGGCGTATCTACGAGTGTCTGCCCTGGAGCCGTCGAATCCATCGACGCCCGTGGCAGTAGTTGATTCTGAGTTTGACATGATTAACTGGCAAAAGTGAAAGCAAGCAGCACAGAGAACAGCAGGGAAAGAGGAAAATGGTGAGGTACTCCATGAAGGATAGTAGGTGGTGTTTTATACGCGCAAGAATGTGGACCGTCGACGCTTTTGTGGATGTGGAGTCTGGACGCTTTGAGTTGGTGGACACTCGAACTGTGTTTTGCTTTGGTAGTCCACTGCAGAGTTTTATTAATGATCCCCATTTCGGGCATAACCCAGTTCTAGGGTTAGGGTCCTCTTCCCAACAGCTCGGTTCGAGACTTTGAAGTCAACCAACCAACCAACCGCTGGCACCAACTTCGACATGTCAGTGATCTGTACTTCCTTCCCCACGATAATCCGCGTCGGAGCTCACTCATCAATGAAGCCAATGTATAGTTCGTATCGTAGAACTCTGAATCATAGATGGAACAGTGTAATTGACACCAGCCAAGCTCGCTCCTTCGTTGCACTGGCGGCTTCGCCTAGGTCTTCATCGCATGCTACCAACAGAAAATCACGCTCTGTTCACACTAATTCACGACTTCAACCGGCATATCCTGGCCACATACCACTCACCCCATTCGAAAACGGAGTTCTCGCAGTTGGCTCTGCACTCATGTCTCTCATAGATACTCGTCGCGCGGGCAAGCACCTCATCATCTTTTACAGTGGGTACATTTTGCTAACGAGTCCATTAGACATGGTTGCAGCTTGCGGAGAAACCACTGCTGGGCCAACTCTGGTAAAGTTGAGGGATACAATGTTGGAGTCTCCAGAGGGTCGGCGCATTCTCAAAGAAATGCCACGTATCAATTCGCAGACCTTGGACTGGCAGAAGTTGCGGTCCCTTCCAGAGAACACCTTTGGACGTGCTTATGTGAGGTGGCTTGACGCTTGCAAAGTCACACCTGATTCTCGAGAGCCCGTAGGGTCATTTTATTCCACACTATGCATACCAGATGGTGCTCACCACTAAGGACACAGGTACACTACATTGATGACCCAGAGCTGGCATATGTTATGCAGCGCTATCGCGAGACGCACGACTTGTATCACGCCCTCTTTGGATTGAAAGTCTCCGCCCTTCCCGAACTTGCACTCAAAGCGTTTGAGTTTACGAATCTAGGCTTCCCCATGACTGCATTATCCCTGGGAGCCTCAATAAGACTCAAGTCACCCCAGCGGGCCCGACTTTGGGGGGAATTTATCCCTTGGGCTGCGAGATGCGGGAGTCATGCGAGATGCCTGCTTACAGTGTATTGGGAGGAGAGATGGGGACAGGATCTGGACGAAATGAAGAAGGAATTTGGTGTCTGGGATCCACCAGCAGGAATTACCATCCCGCGACCCTCGCGTATTGACCTCCCCTGACACATACCGGCATGACAATAGGCGATTTTGCCGTTTCGCGGGTCCTGTGGAGCTTCGGCATGTGGAACGGATAATGTATGTCTCCTATTTCCCGTTGTCGACTATTTGAGTCTGTGCATCAACACAGTTATAGGATCCAGAATGCCTGGACTCTGGTAGGCTATACTGTTATATTTAAGCTTACATGAAGGTATCCCGACTCTAGGGAGAGAGGGTTCTATCAGCTAGAAACATCCCGGCACCCGTATGCAAATAGGTGCATGAAATTATTTCCTTTTCCTGCTGCTAAGCTTGCATCGAACACAACGTTAAAAAGTGCAATACTTATGTCCTCGTTTCTCGTGTTCAGATCACGACTCGAAGTATGAAAGTTGCTGTGTCCGTCACTGTGTCTCACGTTTGCTCACTGTCTGCAACAGCGCCAAAGACTTATTTCCATGGACGTTGGGAGCCTTTTTTCTGCCATGTAATGGCACAGTGAGCTTGCTGCTATATCATATATTGATCTCGACCGATTCTTGCGATGTGCTAGCCTCCTGACAGGCACGAAGAACATCGTTGGCCAAGTGTTCTAGCTCGGCGCAAATCCAGCCTCTGCGGTCTCCTTTGGTCCATTGGACTGAACCATAATGCTCGCAAGAAGCTAAGCCTTAATATCGTAAACGTAGGTCAGTAATCGGGAAAACGTTACACTTGTGCAGAATGTAACGTGTCAGTGGTATTAAATTACAAATAGAGAATCGTTGCATCGTGTGGACCAGTCCAAAACAGGGCCTGTATCATGCGTACAATAGCAACTCATCATGAAGGACGCATCAACGTGACGGTAGAGTGAAAGAACCAGATATATTTCATCCAGACTCCAGATTCATGTTGATACGGCTGAAAAGTTGTTGGTCCGGGATTCGAAGAAAAGGTGAACTGTGGTATTGGTGGAACACTTGGACTTGCCTTGCCGCGAAGTACATACGTCCGATCAGTGTTTGCAATTGGTTCGAGCTGTAACCAAACATCAGTAGTTCCGAGAATGAACATGATGTTCCTTGTTACTAATCTGGTATCTAAACTTTGATTTTCAGGATTGTTTATATCCAAGTTATGCTCCATATCAATCGGTATAAATGGAGATAAGGTCTTGAGCCACTTTCTGAACCCATTTGCCAACATGTCGACCAGTGAAGTTCTCCCCCAAGGTGCAGGCTATGGCGTCGGTGAGTTGGTTTCTAACTCACGTGTTTTAAACACTCATCTCCAATAACATTGTCAGTTATCGGTGAGATACATTGTAATCTGTCTTCTATCATTCGCTCAAGACGTCTAGGGATCGGACTGTTCTTCAGTGCTTTCATGGTGGGTTTGACTGCTATGCAGTCACGCTACACGGGTGTCTCTCCCACAGAGTCAGAGGAATTTTCGTCTGCTTCGCGTTCAGTGAAGCCTGGGCTTATTGCTTCTGGCATTGTCTCTGCTTGGACATGGGCAGCAACGCTAGTATGTCCATGTTCAACATCCATACCCATACATGGCTTAGCGCGCGATATCACTTAGCTCCAATCTAGTGCAGTCGCTTATAGATATGGCATTTCGGGTCCATGGTGGTATGCCGCAGGTGCGACAGTACAGGTCCTCTTGTTCGCGCAGCTTGCCGCGAAATTGAAGCTCAATGCTCCCTATGCACACACCTGGCTCGAGATTGTTGCAGCGCGCTGGGGAACTACAGCGCATCTTTTCTTCATGTTTTTTGGTCTTGCCACAAACTTGATTGTGTCCTCAATGCTTGTTTTGGGTGGTTCGGCTACTGTGACAAGTTTAACTGGGATGAGCACGATCGCTGCGTGTTTCTTGATCCCACTGGGTGTTGCCATGAATGCGTTCCACACTGCTCTGTGATTAGTAGGTGGATGTCGTACATGTCATATTCCTTGACTCATGCCTTTATCTTCAGTACACATACAACCGTCCTCTTCGCCATTATCTTGACATTTATGTTCACCGTATATGCAACATCAGGCTACATTGGTTCCATCAGTCGCATGCACTATCTATTGGGTGAGGTATCCAAGATCTCACCTGTAGCCGGTAACGCTGGCGGTTCATACCTCACTCTCCGCTCCAAAAACGGCCTCATCTTCGGTGTTATAAACCTCGTCGGCAACTTCGCAACTGTCTTTGAGGACCAGGCATATTGGCAGCGCGCCATTGCCAGCAGACCTTCTACGACCGTCAAGGCATACCTCATTGGTGGTTTGGCGTGGTAACTTGGCGTTTCGTTACCAGCATGTGTCAGCATCTCTGATCCAAGCGTAGGTTTGCTGTTCCATTTGCATTCTCAACGACGCTTGGGCTTGCCGCAGTGGCTTTTTCTGCGGTGCCTGCTGCCAACTCTCCGTCACAAGATCCACTATCAAGCAACTTTATTCCCATGCTTGCGCCGCTCTCGCAAAATGCTATCTCAGAGGGTCTTCCGGCCTCGCTAGCTGCTGCGACGTTGCTCGGGAAATCGGGCGCAGCTGCACTTCTTATAGTCCTCTTCCTGGCTGTGACCAGTGCCACGAGTGCGGAGCTCATCGCGGTCTCTTCAATTTTGACTTACGATGTCTATGTGGTATGTTCCTATTCAGCATTTGGCCCAAAAATCGCTTACTGTTAGTTATAGAGATATATCAATCCGAAGGCTACGGAGCAACAAATTTTGCGTATGAGCCATGCAGGGGTAAACATCTTTTTTGGAAAATCTGATCTCCTCATCAATTGTCATGTGTAGGTTGCCATCTTTGCCCTTGTGATGGGTATCGCCGGTGTTATTTTCTACTACATCGGAGTGTCCATGGGTTGGCTTTATGTTCGTGCCTATATCCGTGCTACCTATTGTGCCTGATGTAGTTTGCAGACATTCATGGGGGTCATCCTGGGCTCTGCTGTCTGCCCAATTGCCCTTTGCATTACCTGGAAAAAAGCTAATAAAGTGGGCTGTATTTTGGGTTCGCTCATTGGTTTTTCTGCAGGTATTATTGCCTGGCTGGTCACCACCTCTGCGCTTAACCAAAAAGTGATCAATGTCACCGTATGTATATTATACTCCCATAGTTTCGCTTTTGACCTTGTTGCGTGATCAGACGAGCGGAGGTTAGATGACCGCCAATTTCAACACTGATGTGAAGCTGAATTGACCCAATGACTAATAGGCGACTACGAAATGCTCGCAGGAAATCTTGCGTCAATCGGTGTTGGTGCCATTATCTCAACTACTACTTCGCTTATCGTGCGCAAAATGTCTCATCCACTAACTCGGAGATCACGAGCTAATCAATCCTGCAGTGGCCAGATGACTATGATTTTGCTTCGGCTCGTGCAATCAATAACCGTGGTGCCGCTGTTGCTAGTAGAAATATCGATGACGAACTAGAGGAGCCAGAGGTCGAGAAGAAAGGTCTAGACATGTCAGCATTATCCGCGACAAATGAAACCGAGTTGGACCCAGTTGGCCTTAATAAGGCATTCAAGTTCGCTGCCAGAGCATCAATAGTACTTGTTCGTGCTTGTTTCCTTGTAACCACTCAGATACTGAAGCCGCTTGCTCTACAGACTTTGGTACTGATAATACTTATCCCTCTCCCCCTTTTTTTTGCCCAGACGATCTATAGTGTTACCGGCTTTTCGGTGTGGGTGATAGTCGGTATCATTTGGACATTCCTGTCGGCGGTCGCAGTCGTGATATACCCCCTGTGGGAGAGCAGAGCCGCGCTTCGGCTCATTTCGAGAGGAGTGATCATGGTAAGTGTGGCATTTTTTATCTCAGAGCTCATCTGATGGCGTGCAGGATATTTTCTCACCTGGGAGCGGTAAATTTGTTGCACCATCTTCAATGAAGAAGCCTGTCGAATGAAATTCCGTGGCAGCTTTTTGGATAATGAAAAGACACTATATGATCTACCTTGCTCATTGGTTATTCAAAGCATGAAAATATTTGATAGCAACTCTGGGAACATTTCCTGTGCATGAGAATGTTATCCCGGACTCTGGTCATTGGCGCCGCGCCGCTCCAAGAGCCGAAGAAGATCTGAAAGCTTCGAGATCCTGGTTGACTTTGAGCTACTCGTTCCTGTGCCTCTCCCATCTGGTGACCTGGTCGATACGAGGAAGGACGAAGAAAATGATGTGAGCGAAAGCCTTAGAGTTTCCGCTACGCTAGCCACGCACAATATTCGCAGGTAGGTATGCTGAAACGACTCGGCTGTTGCAGGACCGATATCGATACACATACTGCTGTGTTATCATAACGCTTATTAATAAATAAGTCTTCCAAGGCAGCACAATGGGCTACAGTAGATTTTATATCCGAAGACGGGACAAATAGCGCAGCGCAGGGAACAGGAGGAAACGCACGTGTTTGGCCCACCTGGAATCTGGCATAACGACAATGACAACGATCGTGGCATGTATCGTCAGCCTGCAGGACTCCTAAGGAGGAAAAGTCATACGCAATATATGCACACGGGTAGCACAGTGCATGAATCAATGTGCCTCGTCCGAGGATAATGGTTCGATATTCAATGCTTGCAGGTAGATTGAAAAAAAAACGGTCCTGCATTGAGCGGTCACGTTGAACCTTCTGGTAAACGAATGGACGGCGTCCAACCAGTTCGTAATGACCTGCCAGCGCTTGCCTCTTTATGGTTCCAGGACTTCGGATCGTAGTTTGAGTACTCGTCAGTGCCACGTCACGACCGCGTCAACCTGGCTTGTCAGTCCTTGTTGCGGGTTGGCTTTACAAGATGATACGTTGTTCCACGTCAAGTTGCTGGTAGAGATTCTCTACAAGATCAATCTTATTAGGTGGCAATATGCTTGGGGTTCACACCGTTCACCTTGCTCCACACTAAATTACCAATGACTCGGACTGTACCTCACAAGGTAGCTGGCTATCCAAGTCATGATCTGCTGGAATTGAGGGCACCATACCAGTTCAGTTCAAGGTGAACTGTATTAATCTACATAAAGAACAGTGTTCAGCACGTAAAGGCAAGCTGTCTTCCTCAAACACGTATCTGGGCCCACACTAGTATCACATCCTCACAAACAATGCGTTTCGCCTTTGTCCTCGCTGTTGCTGCTGCAATATCTGCCACTTATGCTGCCACTAGCAGTGAGCAGTGTAATGTTTTCTGCAAACATCCAGATGATTGCTGTCCTGATAAGCCGCGTTGTGTGAGTATGAGTTGTCTGCATTTAACAAAATAACTCACTGGCGCGATAGTTTCTCTGGGTGTGCTCTGGCGCATAGTATGGTCACTAGGTTGTGTGGCGCCTTGATCGAGGGGGATCAGGTCAGAATCGAAGGTCCAGAACCAAAAGTACCTATGACTTTCATAAAAGTGTTTCGGTATTTTATCATGGGCACTCTAGTACATACCCACAGCTGAGTATTTACAATCCCCACTCATCTGTAAAGCTCCCCTAGAACTTCTTCTAATTAACCAACCTGTTATGTGTCTGGTCATCATGGGGCAAGACTTGAACAAGACTAAATTCTGTTGGATATTAAAATATTGTCCGGGAGTCATTGATGTAATTAGAGTTTATATTCTACAGGCACGAGAACGTACATATTTATTAGCCGCCGCCTTCTACCGCCGCTTAGTAATAGCTTCAGAGACATAGACAGGCTCGTCAGTGACAAGCCGCGACCGCGTCAGCCTAGCTTGTCAGTTCTTGTTACGAGTTAGCTTCACAAGGCGATACGTTGTTCCATGTCAAATTGTCTGTAGACAATGCTTCACATGATAAGTAGATCTTATTAGGTGGCAATAACATGATTGGCCCGTTCACCTTGCTCCGGTAGGTGATATGCCAAATTGCCAATATGACCTTGTTCACAAGGTAGCTGGCCATCATGCATCATGATCGGCTAGAATTGCGGGTATCTCAATTGATTTTGAGGTGAACCGAAATTTCCTACATAAAGGCAAGACATCTTCCTACTTTCCCTGAAGACTTATCTGAGCTCTCACTCGTATCACAGCCTCACAAACAATGCGTTTTGCCTTTGTCCTCGCTGTTGCTGCTGCTTTAATATCTGCAACCGACGCTGCCACTGACAGTGAGCAGTGTCCTGTTTTCTGCGGTCATTCAGACCAATGCTGCCCTAATAAGCCGCTTTGTGTGAGTACGAGTAGTTTTCATTTAACCAAATGACTCACCAGTGGCGTGGTAGTGGATCTGGATCTGCACCACCCGTAGTGGCTAATGAACGAGGAACCGACCACGTTCGTCAGAGTTGTGGGTCTAGAACTAAATTAAAGTATGGCCTTCATAGAAGTATTTTCATTTGGATTATCATGGACACTTTACCTATGACTGAGTTTTCACAATCCCCACTCATCTGTAAAGCACCTCTAGAACTTTGGCTGTTATCTGGGTATCATGGCGCGAAACTATATTAATATTGTCCCGCCGCCATTCTACCTAAAGTCTTCAAGTTGAAACAACTTCTACCTGTCGTCACATATTTTTGATCCTTCTCTTTTTTAAAAAAAATTCTGTCTCATCAGCGGGTCTGGCCCACCACATTATTTGACAGTAAATCTCGTAAAATGTCCAAACAGCCTCCATTACAACTTAAATGCACCCTCACCCGTCCCCACTAGAGTTAGCAAGTGATAAGAACAAGTTCAAAGCGAGTCGGACGTGTTCGTCGTTAACCTACTAGGCCAGGCTGGTCATGAACCTGTCTGGGTTGGGCATGACACAACTACAGTCAGCCTACAATGTGTTGATTATTCAAAACTGAGGAAGTCCATGAATCATGTTTTCTATACTGTAGGGAACACCTACATAACTACCATGCTAAAATGCGTATCTACCACTCCTCTTGATGTGCATGCATTGTGAGTGACATAAAATAACGAGGGATACGGAACAAAGCGAGACCAAAAAATCAAGGAAAAAAATGCCGCAAAGAACAGATGCAATGATAACATGCTTGACATACGTGAAATTCCATCCCATGTGCATCTCCCTTTCGTCGTTTTCCTTTTCATTACCCTTCAAACCCTCCGAATGGTGGCACTCCTCCCGATTGTACTTGAACTTCCGGTCATGCTAGGCAGTTTTGACTTTGGCGCGCTAATGGTGGGCGCTGGAAGTCTGGACGAAGGTAGCGCTCCCCCTGTAGGACGGGGCAACCCCGAAGCCATGCCTATAGTCGCAAAGCGTGATGGCGGGCGCAGGCTCTTTGATGTAGCAGTGGTATTAGATGCGGTTGGTATCTTCACTGGCGGAGCCTTGCTAAGTGATGACGCAGTAGGCTTCAGCAACCTTGATTTGAGCGTCCCACTAGATGGTTTTGTCTGTACAGGTTGGGAGGGCATGCACATCTCAAGGGGTGAATGGGGAGGCTCAGTAGCTTTTGTGCGCAGACCGAGGACGCTTGTGAGTTTGTTCTTCATACCCAGCGTAGGCCGTATACCCTGCTCAGGCTTGCAAAATACATTCGCCTTAAGGTCGGCAGGCATCAGCCCAGGAGGAGGGCGGCGCACGCCAGTTAGTATTGGTTTGTGGATCGAGGCGGAAGGTACAGTCGGTGACTCCTGCTCCTCTGCACTACTTCCAGCAGACGAGCCCGCACTAGATAGGGAAGTTGTCCTGTCATGTGCCTTGGACCGCTTCACAATGCGGAGCGCATGCACTGGAGCTGCGGGAACTGGCGCAGTAAATGCCAGCGAAACCCTCGGCGGTGTCACTGATTGCAATGTTGGAGAAGGGATCGGGGATAAAGGTGCAGACACCTTCAGTGGCTCAGAGACCTCAGCCTCGGGTGCAACAACCATGGGTGGCCGGGGGGAGGGCGACGACAATTTCATTCCCGGAGAGAGGCTGCTCCGTCTTGTTGTCAGTCTCACGGCTACAGGGGGAGCTGGTACAATGGCATGAAAAAAAGGAACAAAAAATAAAGACATGAACGTACCATTTGCAGCAGCCGCTGGAGGTGATGGTTGTAGCGTTGGACTAGACCCAAATTGTGGTGCTACATGTAGCGAGGTTTGAAGATCAAATCCATCTAACAAGACAGCACCGCTTACCTGGAGAACCAGCATCGGTTGCAACAGTGCTCGCCGCGTCCTTCTCCTTAATTCGGTTTGCAAGGGCCTCCATCATCTCTTCCTCAGCTTGCATGTCGAAATCATCGGTGTCGATCACAAAAGCATCACCACCAAAGAATGAAATCCTGTCATTTAGAAGATCGAAAGACGCGTCAGGGCAATTTAGTTGGAGGTTGAATGAAGACTGGAGATCCACAGAATTTCGGCGCGGATTAAAAGATGGGGAAGACGTTGTGTGTGCTCGAGCGCGTAACCGAGGGCGTGCGGTTGAGGCGGTTAATGCGTCGTGCGAAGGAGATGATTGGGTCTGATATTTGGAAGGAGGTAATAATGGCGCATCAGATCGAGTTAGTATCTCTTCTGAAAGGAGAGTGGCCGACGGTGACGGTGATAGATGTACTGTAGGTGAACCTAAATTTCCTTCTCTCGACACAACGATGGTAGGAGTAGCGTGTTCGTGAATGCGCCCTCCCGATGGCACTTTTTTATCTGTGAAGTTGATGGCATTGATCACAGATGCTAGTGGTGAGCTAACTGGTGCCAAGGTAGCGTGACTCGTGCGGACTGCTGTCATTGGTGAGGAGTGATGCTCCGCGCCAGAATTTGAAGCTTCAGGAGAAGCTCGGGCGAGATTTACTGCTTTGCGCGGAACGGGTGTGGCATCCATAGAGATATCGGCAAGAGGGGTGCGCTGAACATGAGGAGTAAGAGTCTGTTCTGACAGTGGTGTTTGCGTGGAATTGTAGCGATTGTGGGTCTTTCTCGAAGGACTGTTCATCGGCGTGGCCAACGAGTCCTCTTCATCCATGTCCATACTTTCATGAACAAGCGACGCATTATCGACGTCATCTTCGGGCTCTTCTTCAATAGTGAGCCCATTAAGAAGATCGGCAGTTTCATCCATGATAGTCGTATCACCGACATCAACCAGACGAGTTCTGAGAACTACTGGGGAGTAGTGCTTGCTTTGCGTCTTATAAGTGCGGTTGAAGAATGCCGTCATCGTGAGCCTGTCGGATTCATAGTAGGATTCGTGGCTTGGCTCAGCGTTTTCCTTGTCAGATCCAGAGAGCGAGTCTGGCGTTGTGACTTCGCTCCTTGGAGTCGCATTAAGAGGATCGAAGAGGTTGAGAACGCTGTATCTCGGATGGCTCATCGTGGTACAGAGTTAAGAGCGAAGAACAGGTTACAGTAGCAGTCCTCGAGAGTCCACCCAAACCAACACTCCGTGACAAACGCGTGACACGTTGCGTTTCAAGTCACGTTTTTTTCTAACGCGGTCACGTGCCGACGAGAATGTGCAGGAACAAGAAAGTTTCACTTAAGCTTGCTATATTCAATATCGTCGAGCATCCCTCGAGCTCCATGTGTGGAAGGTGAGTGACATGATACCTTATAGCTAACAATAATCATACACGTCTCTGGTCAATTCTAACTTCTAACCTTCGTCTCTTCAAATATGTACATGGAATGCAGCTTCGAAGATAAATTACTTTCCCGCGCGAAGAACCTAAATGCATCAAGTTCTTTTGCAAGTGCTCGAAAGGATGCGCTTTGAGTCTCTGACTACGGGAGACGAGGATGGAGAGCTGATCGACTTTGACTAGGCAGGCAGCATGGAGTTGTTGAATATCTTATGGATGTGGACACAGTGAATGTCGAACGGCGGCCCGGCCTCTCGACGCATACGATGACAACTCGATTAGGAGCGCGAAGGAAAAAAAACACGAGACGTTCGAAAGGAGAGTGCTAGATGTCGAAACATTCCGTGGATGTACAAATCGTTTCGATACTTACGCACTTGCTGATCAATGATCGCGCAAATTTACTGCCTTCGCAGCAGATTCACCATGCATCTCGCCACGATGTCACTATTGGATGCACAATATATCTTGGGACTCACTTACGAGGGGAAAAGCAACCATTGCCTCGTCCTAGCCAGCTGTACGGGATAGCAATGCCGAAGGACCTAAATCGCGTTCATTGACGGGATGTGCGACTCTTTTGGTATAACCACTGTTGTAATCTCAATCGTGTGCATCGAAAGTAAAGAAATGGATCTTTGTCCCTGCTTTCGCCGGAGGAGCCTGATGGGAATGAATGCGGTTACCTCGGTTTTGACATGTTCACATTCCTCTTAACTCAGTTTTGCAATTCGCTGAGCTCAGTTCCTACATGAAGAACGCCTCTCCCTTTATATTCGATGAAACAAAGGGAAGGCCCTTTTATTTCTGCGTTATGCATAGATGTAAAGAAACTAATCCAAACTTGAAAACGTTTTTAGTGTGCAGGAGTCGGAACTTCTGCCTTCTTCCATTGCCAATGTCTCCTGATGCCCCGATTTTGTCTCTGATAACGAATCTTCAATTGCCAATGTCTCCTGGTGCCCCGATTTTGTGTCTGATAACGAATTTAAATTCAAGTCCACACGGACGTCCTTGGTGAAATGTGCAGAACTAATATTGGAAATGTCGATTTCGTGGACTGTCTGTGGTTGCAGGTAGGACTCCCGGGCAATGGAACTGAATGAGCTATTAGTCGGCGTCCTATTCTATTACCGCTGAGGGTGACTCACTTGGCGAGAAGACATGTGGCGTATACTGTCATGCCAGAACATTAAAACATTCAGTGTACTTGAGCGATAACAACAAGATTCTCACAGCATCCCATGGGAAAACACGTATACAGGTGTTTGATAACGAAACTGCAGACTGCCCACTGAATCTCTGTTAGAGTAATGATTTGGGAATGAGACGAATAAAAGCATTCACAATTCCAAGAGCAGTGAATGCCGCCACGCTATGCAAGGAGTGAGTACACGCTCGTCGTCAATGATCATGGACTGACGTTGTAACCAAGCCCGTTTGCGAGCAAAATATTATGAGTTTCGTAATCATTCGGTTAGTTCTAGTCATCGAGAAGGTGAGTTCGGTACTCATTTGGTGTTTGAACTTGTCGATCACCTTGGCAAATCCGATTTATTACTGTGAAGAATGTAGGCCAAAGTACCAGCGATAAGAGTATCACCGATTGCTGAACAACCAATTGAGATCGGGGGAGCCCACTTAACCCTTGTGAGTTGCACCCTGATCAACTAGAGAACGAACTTACAAGAGCCACTGTGTAGTACGTATGATTACTTGGTTTGAAGCTGTCTCCCGTGTTGAAAAATGCCTGGCAACGCGACATTGGGAATCGGACCTACATTATGGAGATGGTCTTGAGAAAACCAAAAACTATTTCTCTTGATTGAGTAGTAACTCTGCATTGCATGATGGATTACGGCACCTTGCTCCATGGCACAAAATGCAATCTGATTAGCGTAATCAGTCACCTTTTCCGAGGCAGCTCAATACAGTCCCTACCAGAACAACTGTCATTCTCCGTTTACCACAGAGACTTTTCTCAACTTCATGTGCACGTTAGAGAGAAGTACGACGATAGTATCTTGGTGACACGTACGACAGCAAACCCTACAGATAAAAACACCATGCACAAGAGATGTTGTCAAGGTCTGTGAAACGACAGTGAGCTTAAAGTCAGGATCAGGGGAAGAAAGCTCTACTAACACATATCCCAGTATAAATTGCCCATTCTCTGTCATTCTGTTAGAAAGACTATCAATGAATCACCGGCGGTACTAACGTCGACACACGGCGAATGAATTGGGGGAAATCCTCGAAATCCACTATGTGAATGCCCGCGATCCGACTAGTAAGCGTCCTAACGAGAATTACAGTGTCATGCAAACAAAATTTTAATATAAACTCACATTTGAGCAGCTTGCATCATCCTATAAAACGACGTCAGTCCTCACATCAGGTGCACGATTGGAGAGATTTACCAAATGATGGCAACCTGTTATGCATTATCAGCTATCAGTCTGTGGCATGTGATCTAATTCGTACGAGAAGTTTGCTCTGCCAGTTTTCTCGAGATCGAATGGTATGTCTCCTGAAATAGATCCAGACTTGCGCAGTCAAAATCAAGAAAGCACTATCTTCCGTCGTTAGTGGATACTAGATGGTCGCCGATATGGTATGAAACAATCCTACATTGATGATATACCAAGACCAGTCATCAGAGAAGCTATGCTTCCGTTGTATGACGCCGTAGTCATGGAATCCAGGTGCTATAGAGCTCGAGGATGAGATGTAAATTGGGATCAAAGGAAGAAGAGTAATCGTACAGTTTATCATCTCTGAGTGCTGCCTGGCATGTCCCGTTACTACTATAGTAGCACTACCGGTAACCACAATGGCCGGTGAATCTTCCATCAAGATCGCAAGAAGCACTTACTACTATCAGCACTAGTACTAGAACCATCCCCGAGCTCCACGGTCAAATTATATCGTCACGAGCAGGTCACGAGAGGTTATGAACCGTTCCGTCGAAGTTGTGGTCAAGTTTGAGTTCAATGTGGCTGTGCGGACATTCTAATTCGCTTAGCCTGATGTGGCCAATATTGGTTTCAGCCAATTTTATTTGGTCGGAACATACCAGTAATCCTCCTTCCATGGCACATGCAGCACTTGATACGTACAATGGTATATCATACGAGTGACAGACGAATATCCGGATTTCCATGACTCTGAGTCTCATCGGATCCCATTGGACACGCTGGCAACAACTTATCAAGTCCCAATTCTGCATCCGAGTTTAAGACCTATTGGTTTTTGGTCTGTTTCACCTTTTACTTTCTTTGCGGTGAACCATGATCACTCCATATCATATTTCTAGCTTCTACAGTGTTCCATCAAGGATGTAGTAGTACCTGGCCTCAGTCCTCATTGCGAAATGTCCCGATCCCACCGATACATACTAACATTGGCAATTTGTGCATATCCTGTCAATCTCCTTCCAGTGCGAGGTACATGTCGAAAACTTCTTCTATTTCTCACTGATGTCCGAGTCAGACCACTGATCGAATGACGTACGGTTCCATTCATGTATCATACTGGCCATGTAGCGCTTAGCCACTCTCAGTCTACACTTCTTTCCATTGTTCTCCTCCATCGCAAAGGTTGGGACTGTATTCAATTTTAGTAGTAGCTGCACTGATGAATTGGTCTCCCCAGTCTATTACTACTAGTTTTTGCATTCAAAGTCAATCGATACGGTCATTACTTTAGTCATTTATCCCGAACTGACATTTACGTCCCAGTCAAACTACTACTAGATACTGGTTCGGTAGGGTAACCGAGTTCAGCCTCATGTTCAAGTATGTAAGTACATCGCGAACCGAATTCAAAGCTAACTTCAGTTTGGTTCTTTCGTTCGTTTTTGTTGTCCGCAACCGATACCGAAGCTCACAGCCTTATCATTATCCTGCGACCCTGCTCCATTCCTGACCTTGATGATACGGATCTTCCTATTCTAAAACAGTTCATCTCTGGATCTCAAAGTACATGAGGTACGTGTCGGCAGAGTGAGTCAAGATTCTAGTCATTTAAGTACGAGGAATAGCTAATTACTTGTTATCTGGCTCCGTTGGACCGTCCTCGTTCCATGGTTCTCTGTACTACTCTCTACTCGTTCATTAACACTATCTTTCTCAACAACTCCTGGTCCGAAGTGTCCCTTCCTGGCCTGGTCCACGTTCCCTCAGATTTCAAAGTTCATCGGTTTTGGAAACCTGGCTCTGACAGTATGGCTGGGAGCGATCCCATAGGAAACTCGACTTGATGGCTGAGACTCGATTGGATGGCCAGCCCTTGATCTCATAGTCGACCCTATCTCAGAACCGAATTGTGGCCTAGTCGAACTCGATCCCTTACTGCCGCACTCAACTCAATGCCTTGCAAATTCTGCATACGGAATCAGTAGTACCAAACCACACCTACGCCTTGCTCTGGCTGGACTTTTAAACGCTCTCAGTACTCGTCATGGCCACTGTTCTTGCAGTACAAATGTACTACTGGGATAGCGACTAGGTGCCAGTATATCATTGAGCTCTAGAATACACGTCTACAGTACCAAGCGCTCGTTTCTGTCCATAACTGGTAACCTACCTGATGATCTGATCTTGCCAACCAAGTATTCATCCAGCCCATGCTGCCAAGACGTCGCCGCTGATGAAACAACTGCTCACCCATGGTACAGATAGCGAGAAAAATTATTTCTTCTACTTCTCATATAGAAGACTTTCTGCGCTAGCCTGAAATGCTTCACGAGAGGCGCCTCATCAAACATGCGTCGTCGCTTAAGATCAGTCTCATTCATATTATTGTGACAACGCAATTCATGCGGCTCACACCAAATGCAGCCATCATAATCATCGGTCTTAAGTAGAGGATAACGATATATGTAGGTATATGACTATATATCTTGCGCTGCCACATTCTAGCCGATTATGCTTATCGTCTTCATTATAACATATGTTTGCAGTGATTTGAATTTTGAACACAGGATTTGTGCACGGCGGCATTCCGACGGAAATATGTCTCATAGTAATCTAGAAGGACAGAGGCATTGTGAAGAATCAGGAAATGATATGTGTTCCTTTTAATGGTCTGACTGCGACCCTTGATGAATGTAAATACAGTGGATATTGAACAACTTCTTGACCCATACGTACGATAGTAGTAACTTAACTCTGGTAGGCAATTATGACAACACTGATTGCGAAATGGTGACATTATGTCCAAAGGATTATCATGTATAGCTACTCGACTTAAGAGGAAGACGCTTTCGAGGAATGTGTTCCTTCTTGCATTGCCAATGTTTCCTGTTGCCCGGAGTCATTGTTTGGCAGGCCCACATGAATAACCTGCGTGAAAGGTCCAAAGCTGAGCCTGATTTCGGAAATCTCGGGTTCGTGGTCTGTCTGTGGCTGTAGGTAGGATTCCCGAGCGATGAGGCTGAGCAGAGTGTCAGTAGTCTCTTCTATTACCCCTGAGAACGACTCACTTGGCGAGAAGACATGTAGAATATACTGACAAGCCAGGATATCAGAACATTCCGTGTACTTGAGTTGATAACTCACAGCCTCCAATAGGAATACACATAAATAGATGAAAAATCTCGAAACGGCAAGCCACCCACTACATCTAAGTCAGAGACATAGTTGATGCACGAGATGAAGCTAGTGGTGCCGAAGTCCGGTTCGGTTCGGTTCTTAGGCCTCTAAATGCGAACGCCGAACTGGACCATCGGTCGCGTTCAGGCAAGGAGGGCGAACGCTGGACCGGACCCTTATGAACGCGTTCACAAGCGTTTGGTTCAAGTTCAGAACGCGTTCGAACGCTCGAACGCTACATATAATTTGACAAAAATTGCAAGAAATACATGAACCGTAAATGAGTAGCTAATCTCCTGAGTAAATACTACCTTCAAATCCCCACTGCGCTCCTCTTTCTTCTTATGCTTGCGATCCTCACGGTCCTTGTCTCCAAATACCTTGGTCCGCTCGTAAGCTTCCTCCCCGTCATTGTCTTCGGCCTCTTCTTCATCATCTGAACAATCCTCTAGTGCAGGAGGTTCGTCGTCATCGTCATCATGGTGACGGACCAGACGGGACCCACGTTGCACTCGCTTGGGTGCAGGCTGTCCTTGGGGAGGCGCTGGAGCCACTCGTTTGGCTGGAGTCGTGTTGCCAGCATCGCGGATTTTTTCTGTCGGTTTAACAGCTCGGCCTGAGCGAGACACAAAGGCAGTTAGCTTGCCATTGGATGCAGGAGGTGGAGGTGGAGGAAGCATGGGCGTGTCATCGTCAGGATCATTGTACCAATCGATGGCACTAGCATCCTTGAGTTGGCCGTCAGATCCAAGTGCGCACGACATTTGTGCAGCAAGGAGGGTGAAGATTGAACCTGTAGTAAGTAGCTCATTTATTCCAAATTTTATGATAAGAGATCAAAAAAATGACGCACCTTGAACATCCTGTTGCCATGCAATTACTTGGTGTTGAAGCTTGAAGTACCAGAACGAGAAACCTGAGAATATGTTCTGAAAATAAAGACCATTGAAGTCTGAATAAAGATTAACATTTGTTTAACATTAGGCTTACCAGAACATCGAGTAGATTACCAGGGAAGTCAGATCTCGCCAATGGAAATGTGTTGGGTGTTTTGGCTGCGAAGTCCGATCCGCTATTGATTGTCCCGAGATCGATCGACATGCCGGTTGCCAGAAGATCAGAGCAGATATATTGGTGGATCATGCAAAGAATATGAGAACACGTTCAGACGGGTTCGAACGGGTTCGAACGGGTTCGAACGGGTTCGCAGTATTCAGGCAGCAGCCGAACGCTGAACTTAATAATCAGTTCGGTCCTTATACTATTTCGAACCCAGGACCGAACCCACGGTCCGGTCCGGGAGGGTTCAGGTCCGAACCGAAGTTCAGAACCGGACTGCGGCATCACTAGATGAAGCACTCACAAGCGCAATGGTGATGGATGCCGCCACGCTATACAAGAAGCGGTGAGTAAATACCCACTGTCAATACCAAGAAACTTGCGTTGTAATCAAACCCGTTTGCGAGCAGAATACGATGAGTCTCATGACCATTTGATTAGTTCTGAGCACGAAGATGGTCAATTATACAGGTTAATTTCATACTCCAACTAATTAATCACCCTGGCGATGCGGTCCTGTATTTGCAGAGAATATAGACCAAAGTTCCAGCGATAAGAACATCACTGATTGCTGAACAACCAAGCGAGATCGAGATAGACCACTTTGTCCTTGTGAGTTGCCAACATCCTGGTCAAGGGTAGAACAAACTTACAATAATCATGACATTGTAGTCGAAATGATCACTGAGATTAGCACTGTTTCCCGTATTTGAGAAACACCAGACAGGATGATATTGATGGAATGGGACTTACATGAAGACTGCACTAAGAAGACCAAAAGCTGTTTTTATGTGATTAAGTAGCGATCATCCGTTGCAGGATACAGTACCGCACCTTGCTCCATGACACAAAATGCAATCTGATCGGCACGATTAGTTGTTGTGTTTGAAGTAGCCAAACGCAGCGCCTACCAGAACAAACATTATTCTCCGTTTGCCATAGAGACTCTTCTCAACTTCACGTGCGCATCAAAAAGAAGTATAATTGTAATACGTCAGCAGCACGTACGACTGAAAACCCTAGATATGAAGACGCCATGCACAAGGGACGTGGTGAAGGACTGTGGAATGACAGTGAGCTTGATTGGTTCGAGACCGGGGGAAGAGAAGCCCCACTCACACATATTGCGGTGTAAAGCGCCCAGTCGCTGTCGTTCTGTCAGAAAACGCCCTTGATGAGTCACCGACGATACTAACGTCGCCATATAGCCATAGAAATGGGGTGTATCATCTAACTCCATTGTATGAATGGACGATAGCCGAGTGGTAATTGCCCTAGCAAGAGTTCCAGTAGCCTGTACATATATTTTCTATGGGGACTCACATTTGAGCAGCTTGCATTAACCTGTAACGCAATGTCAGTTTTTCCGTCAACTGCTGCACATATAATTACCAGATGAAGGCAATCTGTTTTGCACTGTCAGCGATTAGTCTGTGATATGCAACACAAATTCATACCAGAGCTTTGCTCCGCCTGTTCTCCCGAGATCGAATTCTACGTCTCCAGAAATAAATCCAGACTTGCGCGGTCAAAATCAAGAAAGTTCTGTCAGCCTTCATTAGCATATGACTGGCGCCAATAGGTTTTCGGTAATACAATCATACATAGATGATATACCAAAACCAGTTATCAGGGAAACTATATTTTTGGTAGCGAAACTATGTGCCGCCGCGACTTGGGCCATTGCGCGAATGCAGTTGCTGCTGGTTTCTGGATTTTTTTTGGAGTAGAAGAGTAGCCATACAAGCGTGCGTAAGTTAGCAACTAATAGTACAGGTACAAGCCGCATAAAGCTGGCGAATGGAATGTTCCGGCCAGAGCACAAGTACTGAGATCAATGATTCAGGCTGTTCAACTAGCTACCGTCACTGTTTACCTATGGATCCATAAGCCTATTTTTGTCAATGAATAATGGATTGTGGCTTGTGAGTCACCACCCTTGGTCATAGTCGATAAAAATTTTATACGATCAGCTCCAATTATACTTTCAAGTTCGATCGCGAGATCCACTTCACACTCACCAGCTATCTCGACCGCTCGACTCCAGACGTTCCTGCCCTTTGAATTCTACGCCCGAAGCGAACTATTGCTTGAACGAGTCTCATCTGCTATTCGTCTGGCAGATGTACAATGCTATCAAGAACGAGTGTCACTCGAATTTCTAAATTCTGACTAGCTGTCATCGCTAGGATCCCGCACAGATCGGAAAGTCAACACCGTACCCTCCACGGGTAGTGTGGGTTTTGGATAACACAGCAGGGACTGCATGAACAAGAGTGTATGCCAAAGCCTTAGCACCCTTTGCAACAGCTTTTCTGAACGACTTGGCCTTCTCGGAGATGGATGATGAGATCTTGAGACCTGAGATGCCTTCTTTGGCAGTGGCGCATCAGAGAACTCGCGAGTCTCCCCAGGGTGTTTTACGTTGACTGCGGTGGGGTTTTTTTTTTGCTTCAGAGTGGGATCCTTTGGGGTCATAGACCATATGTTGGATATAGTCTCGTCATAAGCTTTCTGCTGTGGATAATGGGGGTGTGTTCGGTTACTTTTGAAGCGGACACGTACTCTCAGCTGCGATGGTTTTCCGACGTTATACATGGCTTTATATGTATGACATTATATTCCAATCTTTTCTATATATGATCATATATCGGCATGTATGACAATATCTGCGGCTCACCAGTCCTCTGATGGCCTGGGAGCTTCAATTGGAGAGACGACTCGTAGTGAGGGGGTGAACTTAGTACTGGTCTCGAATTTTTTTCCTTGGCTTCATGGTAGTGACTCGAGCTGCTCTGTAGCAAAGTGTCAGCTTGATGGATTGTTAGAATGGCTCACGGGGCGCAAAATAAATCAGCATAGCAATGTAGTTGATTGTGATCCAGGCGGTACTCTGCGGTACTAGCGCTGGCACGGTAACAAATTAAACTTCCCGATTTGGTAAATCATAACCCAAACACCACCGATCCGTGGTAGAGGCTGAAGTGTTCATGAGTCTTGCAGAGGCCGTAGACAACGACACCCTCGGTCTGACAATCGGGTGATGATGTGATACCCGGGAGGCGTCGAACTTCGTGGGAACAGTGATTCGGTACCGGATTAGCGTCTGTATCGTTAAAATCTTCACGGCAACGTAGCAGACTGCATGGACATCATACACAGTACGCCCAGGATACTTGACGGCTGTAGAGTTGAAGTCGATGATAAGGCGCGGGCAGGATATGGTCAAAGGGACAGTCAGACGGCAATAGATGTACTTATGTTTCAAGTGCAGACTTCGCGATAGTAAGGACTAGATCATGAAGTTTTGGACTTCAACTGTTGGCTGAGTTGTCGCCGTGGCTGCAGATCTCGATACAACATAACTTGAAAATATCGACCAGGGTCCAGAAAGTTGACTGATGTCGGTTAATTTGAGGAACAAAGGGCCGTCCGTTTTGTTCAGCTTCATCTTGAATGAGTTGAACAAACAGTAGTTGGACCGAACGCGGCGGGCACAATATCAAAAGTCTATGTCATGTAACAAGATAGATAGCACTGACCATCATGATGTATCGGAAGGTCAGTCGCGACGTCAAACTAGCCGCAATTGATCTTCACGAGCATCAACATCTTGCGTTCGAAGACACCCTAAGCCTGTAGTGACCATGCTGTACCTTCTTTTGGCTTCCGTGGGCGGCCAGGTCCACGTTTCTTCAATCTTGAGTACTTCCAATGACTCTGATGCGTCAAGATTTCCATCTGCAACAGCAGTTTGGTTCCCAGAGTTGTTCATGGAGGAAGACTGCAATGTGTCGTCATATTCCGGCATCGATAGTTCATCGCTAGAAAAGCTGTCCGTGAAAATTGAGTCCATATATGCGCATGTTATTTGACCCTATGTATGTGTTTAGCAAACTCACTAGTTTCATCTTAAGATGCCCCATTCAGCACTATAATGCCGCGGTTTAGGCTGGGTGGTTATTTCATGGATTATTCCACCGCTCGCAAAGTTGCCGAACAACTCGCCATTGACATCAGGCAAGGGCAGGGCTTCGCAGACTGGGATGACCAGCACATGGAGTGGCCCTTCAACGATTGGCTGGCCAACAATGGGCGACTCAATGTCAAGGTAGCAGGAATAATATCCCCTGAAACTGACATCGAGGGTATACTGTTCGTATCTACGTTCCTTCACATCGAGGACACCGACCCGGGCCCCCTCACGGAGACAGTGAACGATTTGGCAGTACGGCAATGGCTGGAGGAATTAGGAGTGCTGGATGGGATACAGTGGATTTCGATGCCGGACACGCAGAGAATCGCACTTGGGGGTACTCAGCCGAGATATCGTGGTATAAGGTTTACATGTTCGACAATCGAGGCACACAGGAAACAAGTTGTTCAAACGCTCGAGTGTATTCGTGAACTGAGGCGTCGGAATGAGATGCAGGATAAATAGAGGTTTCACTGCATGTATGCTAGTTACTACTGGCCAAGTAGCCCTTAGGCTTCGTCAGGCTCATCATAATGACTTTCCTCGTTATTAAGAACAGCCTAACGAAACGTTCAAGGAAGATGATCAATCCGAGTCTGCTATTAGGTCAGTACTAGCAGTCATCTGTCCACATGCCCTAGTTGCTCTTTCGACAATGATCCTGTTTCTCTTTGACTTCCCATACTTTTGTCGTCACATCCCAGGATCCACTGACTACTGTAGTATTTCACTCAATTCGACACCACATGTGACACGTGACACAATCTACCATTTCGACACCTGGGTTGCCCAATTAGGGAGCCTTATTATACTTGACGATTACGTGCCTCGGCAACTCTGATTAGGCATGTTTGTGCTAAAACCCAACACCAGCATTAAATGCTGCCCCAAATTACCTGGGGCCTTCACTTATTCAACCTATGTACTATAGCCTAGGGTGGGGCGGGTATTCGGACTCTATCAGTAACTTCCCGCGCCCTTCCCGCCTGCGCCTAGAAGGGTTATCCCCCAAGCCAATGCATTCTCACGCCCCTTGCCCTCTTCCACATTGTCCGCTATCCGGTGCTGCTGCCCTCTGGGTACCTTCTGATCACCCACTGACGCAACCCCACCATATACACAGACGTGCACCTACAAGGGTACCCCGCCATTCTGGTTCGTTCCCATTCTTTCTCAGCACATGCACCACCGTCCACCATTAGCCTATACATATCCTCAACGCCTGCCATGCCTCGTGGCTCTACCACTTACAAGGTCACTTCACCTTCCTCCCCACATAACCCCACTACTCACACCCACCAAGAGATTGCCGGTCGAAAATACAGCGCGGCATAAACAACTTTGGATCGGTGTGGTTTTGAAGGCGCTTGAAGACCTCGACCCTCCTTTCATGTCCCTCCCACGACGTAAACAACTTTGGATCGGTGTGGTTTTGAAGGCGCTCGAAGACCTCGACCCTCCTTTTATATCCCTCCCACGACGTAAACAACTTTGGATCGGTGTGGTTTTGAAGGCGCTCGAAGACCTCGACCCTCCTTCGAGGGTTCTTCATATCCCTCCTGCGGCGTAAACAATTTTGGATCGGTGTGGTTTATAGTGCTTCTACCATCCGCTTCTCCAACACTAGCTCTGCGCCATCAGTTTGCTCTAGCAGTGGTTTTATTTCAATGTCATCGGTAAATTGTTAAGTTCATGTCATAGGTAGTAAATAACACATGGCGCCTTCATTATATTGAACGTTCCGTGATAGTAAACTGAGCTGGGACTGTATGTATGAGACAATATTTGCAAGATCAAAGAAAAAAACATTAGGTATCACTACAGTGCACAACGACCGCTCCAAACTCAACTGCAAGTAACTAACTCCATCTAGTTGAGCAATGGCCCAGGACCGAAGTCAGGTGCATCGTTGAACTGGAACTCAGGACCATCGAAATTGAACTGGGGATTGAACTGAAACTCGGGGGTATTGAACTGGAACTCGGGGGCGTTCAAATTGAACTGGGGATTGAATGGAAACTCGAGGGCATTGAACTGAAACCCGGGAGCAGGGGTGGTAGAAGGAAGGCTGCCACTGGTAGCGGGCTGTGCTACTGGAGACTGGAGACGAGGCTCTGGAGACTGGAGATGAGGCTCTGGAGACTGGAGACGAGGCTCGTCCTGTTCATCATCAGTATCAACGAATTCCGCACTCTTATGTACTGTCTTCCTTCCATTCTGAGTTCCTGCAGGCTGTCTGTGTTTTTTCCCCTTGTCAGATCGAGTGCGCCGGCATTGATCAATAATATCACCGCTTTCGAGCCCTTCATCGCGCTCTCGACGAAGCCGTTCGAATTCTATGTCATCTATGGCCTTCCAGTATGTAGCGCCTGACTCCCACTTCCGTAAGAGCATCTCAAGGTCTGGAATCGCACTCGATACTTTGCTGAGGTTGGTAAAGGGAATGTTGTTTGGCCACCCTTCGACTACCACTTGGTAGCGCTGAATAACGTTGCGGAAGTAGTGAACCCACTGCATCTTGGCACGATCATCACCAGTAACTTCCTCTGTTGACGAAATTAAGTTAAAAAACACGCTACTACTGGCAGAATGAAATAAAACTTACGTAGCTTGCTATTCATGATCTCGCGGATTGATGAATGCAACCCAGAGACACGCTGTTGGTGATTCTTGGCAGCACCTGAATATCAACATTAGATAATAGGTACTAACTCGATGCGCAAAAACAGACCTTTAATTCCTTGGACTGCGAATCCTTCCATCTTGCTTACCAGATCCTGACCATCAATTCCCATCACAGAACCCATGAATGTTTGAACGCCCTCGGTGGCAAAGCTAACTCCTCGAAGGGGAAGGTCTGTTGAGCCTCGCGTTGTGTACAGGATGGTTTCTGCACCTGTACGACATTTAAGACTGTTAAGCTGGTATGACTTAGGATTAGTGAAACCAAAATTGATAGAAATGATCACTAACCTCGTTCTCGACAGCCTTCAAAGTCTGCATGATGTCATTGACCTTCGACTTTGCAGAGATACGCAAGCCCATAGTCTTGGTCTCCCTCGAGTTGGCAAACTCCTCCAGAAGCTCGTCTTGCTCCTCCTTTGACAGTGCATGATATTTGTCCTTATGGTCGCGGACTAGCGACTGGAGTGCAGCCTTGCCGAGGCCACCTATTGAGGTGTCATATTAGAGTGTGTTATAGCGACAACAAATAAACTTACTATTTTCTTTTTCCTGATTTTTCTTCCAGCAAAAAGTGTTCCAGAGATTAGGCTTCACACGCCTTGAGCGCAGCATACCACGACCAAAGTATAAATTATTCTGAACGCGTCGAATACTTTTATGGTGGGAACCTGCAATGGTCTTGGTTGTCTGATCAATCTGGCTCCAAGCGTCGTTGAGAGCATCTCTGAATAAACGGGACTTCTCGCGTTGCGTGAATCTCAATGCTGCTCGAGCTTCTTTGCTGAGCGAGACCTTGGGAAGAGTCCAAAGTGGCATCCGAATATGACATGTACCGCCAGTGCGCTTGGTTGCATAGAAGGACTGGGTAGCCATGATGGGTTAGTGTGTCTGTGAACTTTTCAAGGTCGAGTTCCAACTTTTAAACGCACCGAGGGTATATTTATTTGTGTGGGTCGATGATCTACGAAGCGATGAACCATCAATGAGTATATTGAGTCTACGGCACAAACTCAAGATCTACAGGAATAAAAGCCCAAAAAAGTATAGCGCACATAAAAAAACTAAAATGCCAAGGATCTTCAAGATGCTAGTGAGAACAGCTGCTAGTGCGGATGGTGACTAATTAAAGAAAATTAGGACAGAAGGTTAGGTAACAAACAAATCACTGACCTGGACAACATCATGGTTGAGTGGTACGTCCTGTAAGTCAGCAAGAAGGGCCTTCGACAACAAGGAAGCTTGCTCGTAGGACAAATCCCACTTCGGAGATCTGAAAACAGATTCCCATCGGCTGCTACGGACGGTGCTGGCTAAAACTCGCAGCTTGGGCAAAATCTCATCCCCAAGCTTGAACCGATCAAGCACTGCATCAGTGTTTGGTCCAACGCTAATGAGCGCTGGCCCAACCGAATTAGTACCACCATGCAGAGTATCCGATTGACCAGCCACTAAGCTATCACCGGGGTTCCTGCTACTAAGAAATACATCCGCAGGTCGCCGTTGACGAATCTGATGTTGCATGGCACTTGTTACACCGTGGCGTATAGCAGCCGATGACATGTTAGGCACTTTCGCATCCGAGAGAGCTTGCAAGGCGCTCGCAAACACATGAGGTGCTTGTGCAGAACACTGGATACGAGCACCAGTAGCGACCATGGGTGCTGGCAAATATTGTGGCCCATTTGGACTGATGTGCGTAGCAGGGACTATAGTATCACATCAGCAAGGCTCAGGAAAATACAAGGAATAAGAACTTACAATGCTTAGGCAGTTTCACATTCTCGGCAGTGCAACGTTGCATGAAACGATGGAGATGTGGAACAGCGAACTCCTGCGCGAAGGCCTGGACCAAAACAGCAAGGTCTCCACCGATGCGCTGGCCTGTTTCTTGCAATTCGCGGGGTGTGATATAGAGGTCGATGGGCACTTGTTCTGGTGAGATGTTGGGGCCGGCTTCAATGCCACCACAACGAATCAGAAGGGAGATGCCGCCATTGAGACGGTCTTGCATGGTGATCTAGAAAGTACAAGATATTTAAGAAAGAAAATTGATTAATATAACTCACTGCATCGAAAACGTCTTGCAGTGCCGCTTCTAAGAGGTCATCCTGAGTAAGAACCCTCTGTTCTGTCTGTTCCACAGCAGGGTTGAATGAAATGTACGACGGATGAAGACCACCAGCTGTTTTCATCCAATAATGAGCACCGTCGATGTGTGCATCATGCCTGAGTGAGGCCCTGATGGATGCTTGCCGTTCGTTATTGCTGAAGCCTTCCGCAAACTGTAAAGTATAAAGAGCAGCGATGCTACTCATAGAAAAGCGATTGGTGAAGCCCGCAGTTTGAGACAGGAAGTCGGACTGCGTGATGATGGAGGGTGCTTTTTTCCTAAGTTTTGTGGGAGTGGTCATGCTGGTGTTGAAGTTGTGCCGTAAACGAAAGAGTCTCGATATATGCGCTAAGCAAGTGAAGTGACTCACGACTTCAAGTTGAAATGCACCAATGGCCCAACACCATGACTCAACTGGCGAGCATGCGGGTGATCTGTGATACATGTCTCAAGTACTATTATCATGATAGCGGCAGAGGATATGGTGAATACTGTAATAGAAGATGACGATGACTTGTCGATAATGGCTGAAATGTCCAATCACCGGCAAGTCCCATTCAGGAGTGAGATGGTTTCTGCAACATTCATGCTTAAACAACGCATGAAGCTTCAATTATTTCAAATTGCTCACATCAACACGTATATACACTACGCTATGGACTACTTTGTATAAACGATCTGTTTTTGAGACAAGGTGGTTGAAATCAAAGATGACGATGATGTCATCCCATTTGCGACTTGCTTCAAATGCTTCGAACAGATGTTGTGCAGTCAGAACTCAATATATATATCAACATTTGCGACTTGCTTCAAACAGACGTTGTGCAGTCAGAACTCAATGTATATATCAAAGACTGAATATATATACAACATTAAAACTACAGTGCTCAGTTGACAATGGATTGTAAATAGTCGGCGATGTCCTCCGTTGCCCTACCAAATTCTTCCCGATCAATGGCATCCATGTCAACATAATCAGACATGATGATTGCCTGAATGTCGTCGATGTCCTCTCGACCTACTAAGATTGTAAGTTAGCGTGAAATGTATAGTTGTATGGTACATACAGGAAGGAGCGCCCTTGTCGTCAAGACTCAGTGTGCTGCATTCTGAGTCACCTTCTACCATGGTTGTTGAAGGTGTCTCGAGGCGAGTGCCAATACCACGAACACCAGAGAATCCTGTAAGACTCCCAATTTGATCTAAGCGATAAACATGGACAGCGTTGATAGCTGCTCGAGAACGCCACTGGCGCTTCAGCTCACTAGCAAGCAATGGGTCAGAACCAGAAAGATCGCGAATGACAGCAGTGGCCTGAAGTTCTTCATCGTAAATAGCAGTGCGGAGACGCCGAATTTCAACGTTAAGTCGAGTGATTTCTTCACGAGCACGGAGGAGCTTGAAATACTTTGAAGTTGCTTCTCGGTAAGCCGGTTTGGCCCAATCATCACTTCGAACATCGCTGCAAGAGTGCCGCAAGAGGTCAAACTCTCCAAGGAAAGTGTAATCAGCGATGTCCTTCCATGATATCTTGTCGCGCGGAGGATTCAAGGCTACAGCTTGAACATTGTAGCGTGCGATAGCTTTGCGGATAGCCTCAGAACGTCGTTGTAGGGCTTTGCTAATTTGCTGACGAAGTTTATACCCTCGAGAAATGTTATTGATTTGACATAACCAAATCAAAAGAAATCGTTTACCTGTGCCCGATAACGACAGCTTTGAAAGTTCAAACAGCCGCATCACAACCAAGCGTTCTAAGTTGTTGAGCGCAGCTCGATATTTGCCCAGAGAAGCTTCTTCCTTGAAGCAGCTATACTCCTCACCACCAATTTCCCATCGTGCATCTACACCAAGCTGAGATTCCATGTGGGCCACTAGTGCCTCCGCGTGCTGTAGTTTAGCATAGGATGAATCAACCCGAATACGGGCAACTGTTAGAGCTTGATTGATCTGCGCTAGGCTGCTTGCCGGAAGTTCGGTAAGTGCATTGTTGGCTGCTTGGCGAGCCGAATCCCAATCGGACCTAAAAAAAAACACTTGATATTAAAAATGACCATAAATTAAATGAGGTTAGTTCACCTTCGTTCAGCCAGTTCATCAAGTGTCTCAACGTAGCGAATGCGGATACGGTCTTCGGCTGGTGGCTGCTTCAGATCATCAAGGTATTTTTGCTCTTCGTCGAGAAAATGAACGAAATCATCATCGGTTAGTCGAAGCTCGTGTTTGATAGCTGTGAGTTCAGTGGTGAGATTGTGAACTGCCTTCAGCGCTTCTCGATAGTGGTTCCATAAGAAATTACCTATTGGAACGCTAATCAGTACTGTGAACTAAGGCTAAAGTGGAATATACAAACTAAGGCTAGCGTACTTGTCTTGATCCCAAAATGAGAAGTGTTCCTCGATAGATTGATGTCGATGGAAGGAACTGGCATGTCTGATACTACGAGCAAGCTCATTGGAAGCAGAGAAAACGTGTTCACAACCTTCGCCTTCAGTGTGTCCCGTTCCAGGAATATACATTGGATGCCAACGTAACTGGCATTTGCGGTTGTGTGCGTGGCCATGAAAGGACCCGACCATCATCCGAAAACCAAGATCGTGCGCTCAAGAGCCGAAGGAACTATTGCTCAGGGTCTTTGAGAAGGCGCATCCGATATCATAAGCACAGCCCCCATTCTTTCCATATACAGTGAGGAGCTTGTCAATGAGCGCCAACGGATATTTAGCTCTGTTGGAATGATCAACAAACGTCAAACCATGACAAAAATAGACTAACAGCTCGCCACTCTGAACCATGTCGCAAGCTAGAAGTATGAAGCGGTGGCGACAAGCAGCGATAAAGATCCCAGACTCATGAAACACGGAAAACATTTTTTTACGAGTCTCAGGGCCAGCATTGCGCCATCGATCAACACAAGTGAGCACATTAGAAGGGTTAGTGCTAGCGTCAACCAGCTCTTCCTCCCAGTTATCATCATGGGAGTTGATCTGCACAATGCGATCAAAAATTGCTCAAATTAAGTTAGTCGACTTACATCGCACGATTTCGCTTCGTGTTTATACTTGTCAACAGTTTCACGATCAATCCAGTAGTCTGAACGAGCTTGACGAGAATCCAACCAAGCAGTGTTACCATAGATGGAGGAATCCCATCTCTTTAAGCTATTGTTGCCATCGACGCACACGAGCCAGTTGAAATCAAGGGTTGGCTCATCTTGGAGTTTATAGAAGCAAGCGGGACAGGAATTTAGTAAGCGCCAATTGGGAGTGTTGTGTTTGAGCGCCGCCTTGAGGCGCTGGTCAACGTGATGGATGATTTCCAAATAAATATTGTAAGCGGCCGAGAATTGTGTATTGAGGTAGGGCCGGTAAGGAATCTATCAATTACATATCAATAGACAGGCTGCTGAGAGTATCGTCCCATACTCACCTCATGAAGGAAACAAAGTGTTCTACACTGTGCCTGGATACTGAAGCGAGGACAGGCTCGATGACATTGCCGGAAGGCGGCAAGAGTACGGAGCGAAATTGCAATGGTTGGGTACATCGGGGCGCATCCGATGTAGCCATGATAGATAAGTGTCTCGTTAGGGAACCTGTGCGATGCTATCGGCTGGAGAGAGGAACGGCACCGCCCTGTGGGAGAATGAAATAATGCTTTGAAATAGTGCGAAGATACTTACTGAAAATGTCAATGAGCTCGATGTTGTTGAGTGAAGGGCAGTCCGTCGTATCTATGTCCAAAGGTGGGACTGTGGGCAAGTCTTGTGGGTTTGGTATGCCATTGCCAGAATTTCGAGCGCAGTAGTCAAGATAGGCGTCCACAAGGTGTTTGATCTGGAGATTCCAATGAGAAGTCTGGTCTTCTGTGCGGTCTCGGCGAGTGCGAGGATCTATGTAGCGACTGTGCTGAAGTATAAACAAGATATGTCAGGATGAAGTGAATAGGACTTACTATCCACCAATGTCGGCCACCTGATGTGCCAGCCCTTCGAACACTTCATGTTCCCCACCTGCATGACTCATATCAAAACCTTCCTCTCCAGGAGGAGCAGTGTATGGTAGCGCCTCGACATCGATGCCATGGTGGGTAATCATGGTCTCCACCGCATTTCGGTCCTCTGCGGACATTTCTGTTGCAAAAATTATAGTGAATGAGGCGGAAAGTAAATGAGAAAACATACCTTGTATTTCAGCCTGGCGGCTGGTATCCGTTGCCATTATTCGATGCTGTTGTTTGCCAGCCACGAGGACTTCTGATCGACGATGGCGTCCTCGAAAATGGTGAGAAATGACCGACTTCGACAACCCGGTGACCTTGTAAGTGGTAGAGCCACGAGGCATGGCAGGCGTTGAGGATATGCAGCAGCCCTGGATAGCGGACGATGTGGAAGAGGGCAAGGGGCGTGAGAATGCATTGGCTTGGTGGATAACCCTTCTAGGCGCAGGCGGGAAGGGCGCGGGAAGTTACTGATAGAGTCCGAATACCCGCCCCACCCTAGGCTATAGTACATAGGTTGAATAAGTGAAGGCCCCAGGTAATTTGGGGCAGCATTTAATGCTGGTGTTGGGTTTTAGCACAAACATGCCTAATCAGAGTTGCCGAGGCACGTAATCGTCAAGTATAATAAGGCTCCCTAATTGGGCAACCCAGGTGCATTTCGACACTTCGACATTTGAGTGTGTGACAAGTGACAGCACTGAATTTTCGACATATCAAGATTTCGACAGGCCAGACTGTGACTATGAACACTGTGTTGAAGAGATAAGTCGTTCTCTGCTTTTGGACAGATTAACGTTGCATTTGGCTATTGGGCAACCTTACCACTTCGTCGTATCACGCGCTTCACTCTTGGCATCGTATGGTTACCTTCTTCTTTATTCTTGACATTCGAGCTCCGTCTTTTCTGTACCCTACAAGTACCTCGTCCTTTTGTCGTTTGCATCCCTCAGTTGTTGCTTATCAACGCTGAGGTACGCGTATTGTTCATCTTGCTCCGAGCCTCGTACTTACTTGATCCTAGCGCGCTACTTTCTAACAGGTACATTAATTATGAATATAGTTGTTGCTTATCAACGCTGAGCGCGCTACTTTCTAACACACTGGATGGTTGAAACACTTTCTGAACTAACTGTGATACTCGGAGACAAACAGTCGAACGTTGAACGGCAAAGACTAGTTATTAGATATATGGTACTTACGGTATACTTATTTGATTCCGCTACCGTGACAGCCATTTTGGCTTGACCGAAGCCATTCGACAAACGCAGGTGTGACCCGTGACACGCTACAAATTTCGACCAGACAAGTCGGCGTGTGACACGTGACTGTCGAATCGAGTGAAATACTACAGTACTCGAGGGTCATTCGGACCATCCGCACACCAGCAGACAGATAACAAACCGTGTGCGCCTCATCCTTGTCATGACGACCTTTCCGTGTCGATATCCCACAATCTCACTGCGCCATCCAAACTCCCGCTTGCTATGGCCTCGACTCCAAAATCTTTGTCCTCCCATTCCTTCCCAACCTGTACGCCCTTCTCCAAGTCCCAGATTTGAAACTCATCCGACGAATAAGAGATGATCCGCTGTCCACCAGGCAGGTGTAGGATATGCCCGATACCTTGATCTTTCGGTAAGGTTTTGTCGCTGAGTTCTTGTGCTTCGCAGAGGCCGGATGCTCCATGATTTCGGTTTCAGTAATCAGGATTCACTTCATGGGTGCGTCATCATGTCAGCTTTTGCCATTACATGCCGCACGAAAGCTGCGACGGAGTGAGTGTTTCATTCGATGGAGATTCAATATTCAAGTTAGGAGGGAGGTTCTGTTAAAGTCCTCTACTGGCGCATCTTCCTCCTTTTATCCTCATGTTCACTTTATAGCCTCAGCACTGGCTGGGCAATTTAAGCGCCCACAGCATAGACTAGATAGAACTGTCCGACATTTCCCGTTGGTATTGTTGTTAATTGAATGATATGCAGTTCGCTGCTGATTGAGAAATGATAATGGGAATATTTGCCGCAGGGTGAATGAAGTATTTGCGCACTTTCTAGTCTAAATGTAAAGAGAACTTGGGCTTAATTCGAATTTGTTTGACCACATGGGTACACCATCCTCGAAGCCATAAGCATGAAAGGCTATAATAAGGTCGATCAACAGTTACAAACGCATTTGTCGTAACGCTGCCAGCGATGAGTTCGGGGAACGATTATAGAGCAAGAAAATAGGGATCTTCCAGTGGTGGGGGATGCTGCCACGACACGGCATTTCATGGAGTACGTCAGTAAATTGTAATGCTGCCTGCTATCCTGGTCACACCTTCCTGGCCTCCATCAACGACGACAGAAGAGTCAATGGTCACGATGAATTAACTATAGATGAGATAGCAAAATACGAATGAGACACACAAGTCACTTCACTAATAGTTCGCGTTCTGAATAGGCATGCAGCATATCGCCCCACGAAATGAGCGCGCCATCCAGCACCGGTGATATGAGTACGCGAGGGTGTTCCCGATACCCCAGCGGTACCAGCGACAGCGGAAAGCGTCGAGGCAGTGGCAGTCGGAGGTAGTTATGATGATGCACTAGGTTTTTGCGTTGCTTGGATTTTGGGAGGTCGAGATGGGCTGGCAGTTAGCTTCTTTCTAGCGTGATAGTTTTTCTGCACGAACACGAGTCAGCGACAAAGGAGAATCATGAAACAAGAAAACGCACAGGCTTTCCCACAGTGCAAGGGACCTCGACCTCTCGTAACTCGATATCCGATCCATCTCGTCCGCGTAGCATACCAGATATTAGGTTTCGAGACCAGTTGAGAGAATGGGATAGAGGTTGAGTATGGTGCTCGGTTTCTCCGTGAGACTTTGAACGATGCCCGAAGGAGGAAAAGCGACTGAGGGTGTGTTGGCGTGGTACAAGAGTGAGGTGGTCATATGGCCCATAGGCTTGTGATAGATGAATGCGCGACTGAGGACCTGAGTCAAACATCGAATATTAGATAGAGGTCACGTACATTGGCCTCTCGCAGTGTATCGTCAAAGAACCCTGGAGGTATTCGAGGAGGACCTTTTATCTTTGGAGCTGATCGCGGTGTAGCATCTACCTGAGGAAGCAGTTGTCAGCGTCATTTTGAATGAAATGTATGTAAGATTACAATCTCTGAAAAGCCAGCTTCTTTGATAATAGCAGACACATCCCATATATATACGTGAATGTCCTGGCACTTGGTGAAGAGGAATTGTCCATCTGCAGACAATTTCCCAGAGTACACGGTGTGTTCATGAAGTGGTGTTCCGATGGGTTGATTGGTTTCGATATTCCATAGTTGCACTGTCCTGCTGAGGTATGATGCAGTTGCAAAGAAGCGCCCATTGGGAAATAGGAAAATCCAGTCAAGAAAGGAACTGACCAAGTTTTTGCGCTCAGTCCAAGTGGCTGTGTATAACCCTTGAATGTTTTGAGCAATTTGCCTGTGTTGGCATCCCAGATCTTCCGCCAATCCCCCGCTATGGCAATCACCTTTCCATCTGGCGAGTAACGAACCTTGAGCATGTGTCCTCCCGCCTTGATTGGTCCAAGTATAGTTTCTCCACTCTTTACATCCCACACTCTGAATGTCCCGTATGTGCATCCGCCCAGCACTTGCTCTCCATCTGGACTCCAGCACAGAGGAACTGTATCTGTGTGCCCCATTAATGTTTTGGTAACCTTGCCCTTCTCAATGCTCCACAACTTCATTGCGCCATTCCAACTCCCGCTTGCCAGTGTCTTGCCGTCCGGCGATAATACTATAGAACAAAATTCACCCTCCAGTTTCTTGACCTGTGTGCCCGTCTCCATGTCCCAGACTTTAAGGAACCCACCCCGTGAATAGGTGATGAGCTGCTGTCCACCGGGTAGGTGTAGGATGCCGGTGATGGGGGTAGCTTGCTTTACTTCGATCTTTCGGTAAGGCATTGTCCCCAAATTCTCGTGCTTCACAAGAGCTGGATACATTATTTTGGTTTCAGGATTTACTGTAACTCAATGGGTACGTCATAATTTCAGCTCTTACCATATGAATCCATCGCTTACTCTGAATCTAGATGCACTTGACTTGTGCACAGAAAGATGAACACGGAACCAGATTTGTGACGGAGTGGGTGTTTCGTTCGATGGAGATTCAATATTCAAGTTGGGAGGGAGGTCTCTTCTACTAGCCCATCTTCCTCGTTTTATCCTTGTGTTCACTTCGCAGCCTCAGCACTGGCTGTACAATCTAAGCGCCCACAGCATCACGGTCCTTCTATCCCGCAAACCTGTATCCCTGTGTTTCTCCACTCACTCAATGGGATTCTGTAATTGTTGTATCTATCTTTTCTCTCCATATTTTCGTTGAACGTCTATCTTGCTCCTCTCCCCGCCCTTGATCCTCAACGTCCTCTGTGAGCTTTTCTTCTACTAGTTGAATTGCAATCTGGCGGCCATAACGACTACTATTTTCATGGACGGGACTATCCATCCTCGTACGTTACCTGCACTGTCTTTGATACTCAAAGTGTCTTCCAATAGGAATTTCGAATGTGGCAGGGCAAAGGCTGTCAAAACACCATCAAGAGCGATATGATAGCCCACGTCTTGGCACCTATCTTGCAGACGATCAACGATTGGGCACAATTCTCCATAAGCGGATTCGGTGAGATGAGCACGGCTACCTCGTCACTGCAATGCTCCCTGACACCGACAAGAACGGTGAAATCTGCGCGTGCCACACAAGTCGCACACAAGTTGGCAAAGGTTCAAGCTACTGGGTATACACATGACGCGGGCCAACAAGGCTTTCATTTATGACTGGTCTGATGCTAATGCTGGCCCGGTTTCAAGCGCTGGTCTGTCTTATTTGGGCTGGATGCGCTGCCCGCGATCGATGCTATTGATTGACTCATTGTCAAGTAGACGCATGCACGGTGCTACGCTACATATTTTATATCACTGTGTCCTTCATTTATCGCATTTTTGCAAGATCAAATCACATCTGTGAACACAGGGCATACTATGTGATGGACTTTCGGGTACATACTGGTGAGAGCACTTGCGCAGGTGCGAGAACAGTGCGGTACTCATTCATTTGAGCCGCAAGTAGCGACACAAGAACTGAGGTACTGAGTGTAGAAGAATTCCAAGCACATGAACGTACTATGTGATGTGTACCTACTATGTCCGATACTATAAGGCGTGCTGCAGGTCTGCGTAAGACAACAATCAAGACTCTGTCAAAAAAGAAAACGGTAGTGGAAGATGCAGGAAATACAGTATGATGATGCAGGATGGCCATAGGGAAACTAGAGCAGAGAACAGAAAATGCCAATGAAGAATAAGAACCACGAAGATCTTCCCTGAGGTTCGTTGTGTGTACTCAAGAGATGCACAGCCAATGCAGAGCAAAAAAACGAGTCACGGCCCCCTGTGTAAGTGATATCACGTCGCGATGTCGTTCCAGGAGCCAGTACCGTGGTGACTGCGCCTCTAATGGTGACTGTCTGCGCCCTGAATAGGTATGCAGCAAACCCAGCCCACGAAGCGAACGCGCCATCCAGCACTAGTGATATGCGGACGTGAGATTGTTTCCCCTGCCCCAGCAGTACCAGGGACAGCAGAAAGTGTCGAGGTAGTAGTTGAAGGTGGTAGCTGTAATGATGGTGATGTGATTTGTGCTGCTCCGCTAGGCTTTTGCGCAGTACAAACATTGGAAGGTCGAGATGAGCTGGGAGCTGACTTCTTCTTTCTTGCGTGATAGTTCCTCTGCGCAAAGAGGACTCAACGATGAAGAAGAACTGTGAAAGAGAAAAAAACGCACAGGCTTGCCCGCTGTGTAAGGGACCTCGACCTCTCGCAACTGAACGTCCGATCCATCTCGTCTGCGTAGTATACCAGATACTCGGTTTCGATTCCAGCTGAGAGATCGGGGGCGGGATTGCGTGTTTAATTCAGTTCCCCCGTGTGGCTTAAAGAGACGCCAAAAGGTGGAAAAGCGACCGAGGGTGCTTTGACTCGGTGCTAGAGTGGGCCCATGGGATTGGGATAGCTTAATGCGCAACTACCAACATATTTGTCAACGAATTCAATCACGGATGGAGATCACGTACATTAGTCTCTCGGATTGCATCATCAAAAAAACCTGTGGGTATTCGAGCAGCACCGTTCATCTTTGGAGCTGGTTGTAGTGTAGCATCAGCCTGGGAGCAGATCCGTTGTTAGTGTCATCGAAAATGAAACGTATATAAGATTACAACTTTGTTGACGATAGCGGTGAGGTCCCATGTGTATATGTGACCGTCGGAGCAGCTAGTGGTGAGCAACTTTCCATCTGAAGAAAAGGTCGCAGAGTTCACATAGTCTTCATGGTGAAGTAGTGTTCCTATGGGTTGATCGGTTTTGAGGTTCCATAGTTGCACTGTCTTGTCCAAGGGTGCTCCGCTTGCGCACGCAAGGATGTAGCTGCCGTGCTCGTTGGGAAACAGTGAAATGGTATTGATGAAGTTTTTGCACACATAAACTGGAAGAATCGTCCATGTCGCTGTGTTGAATTTAATGGCATTAAACAATCCCCCGGCGATAAGCGTTTTTCCATCCGAGGTCCATGCAAGGCACGTGATTCCGGATCCAGCGTCGAGTGTTTTGAGCAATTCGCCGGTGTTGGCATCCCAGATTTTCAGTACTGTGTACCCGCCTGTGGCAATCATATTGGCCTCAGGTGAGTAGCAAACCACATTCATGCCTTCCATTGCCTTGATTGGTCCGAGGATAGTTTTTCCACTCTCGATATCCCATACTCTGAATGTCTGATCCCAGGACCCGCTTACCACTCGCCCTCCGCCTGAACTCCAGCACACAGAACACACCCTCGTTGTATGCCCCATTAATTTTTTGATGACCTTACCCGTGTCGACGTTCCGCAATTTCACTGTGCCATCGACACTCCCAGTTGCTACTGTCTTGCCGTCCGGCGACAATGCTATGGCGTGCACTCCTTTTTGCTTGTCCTCCCATTCCTCCCCAAATTGCGTGTTCCTCTCCAAATCCCAGACTCGAAATGACCCGTCCAATGAATAAATGATACTCCGCTGTCTATCGGGTAGGTGTATGATGTAGCGGATGTTGTTCATTACATTGATCTTTCGGCAAGGCGTTATCGCTAAATTCTCGTGCTTTGCAGAGCCTGGATGCCCCGTCATTAATTTGGTTTCGGGATCCACTTGATGCGTGCATGATAATTTCAGCTCTTGCCTTCAATCGCCGTACGAATCTATCACTTACTGAGAATGCAGATGTACTTGGCTTGTACACAGAAAGGCGAATGCGGAAACGAAAGCTGCGACGGAGCGGGCGTTTCGTTCAATGGATATTCAGGTCAAGAGGGAGATCGTTGAAGTCCTCTGCAGGTGCGTTTTCCTCGCTTCATCCTCGTGTTTGCTCCACATCTTCAGCGCAGGCTGTGCAATTTAAGCGCCCAATCACAATATGCCTCGGCATCACGGTCCTGCTACCCCGCAAACGTGCGTGTGCTCAGCGTCTTACGCGACCTTTCTATCATCCTCGTCTACCTACTAACTAAATTGCAATCTGGCCATAGTAACGATACAATTTTCGTGGGTCCGACTATTCACCCTTCTCAGTAGTTGTTTGCGCTCGCGTCTTTGATACTCGAAGTTGCATTGCCGGTGCACAAACGCTCTTTGCCTTTCAGCAGAATTCTTGAACGTAGATATGTGGTAGTCGGAGCAGCTGGTGATGAGGAATCTCCCATCTTTTGGAAAGGCCGGAGGGTTCACGTAGTCTCCATGGTGAAGGGTGAAGCGATGTTTTGATGTTTTGATTGGTTTCGAGGTCCCGTATAGTTTCGCTGTTTGGCCTGCATTTTCAGCAGGATCATCTCTCCATCCGCTGAGAACAATCACTTGGAGTTTGCAGTTCCGGGAGGACTGATAGGCATTTGGACCAAGATCGATCCTACATTTTGCAGAGCAGATCGTCTTGTCGGTCAACTGCTGGGTACGATTGGGAAGCTCCCAAAGTTTTATGCTGGTGAGCATCCTCGGTTTCGATATGCTAACGCATTTTAAAGATATGTTCGTTTTTTCTCTGGCTGTTTGCTGGGCGTTCGTATAGAGGAGAAGAAACAAACAAAGGTCTTAAACTCGCTAAGAACGAGCTCCTGCTGATTAACATTGGGTCGACATCGACTGGTGGGCGGGTATTGAGCGTGAGAGAGGATCTTGCGAAGGTTCAACTGACTTCACCCGCATGCACAGAGGTCGGAGAGAAGGTCGCACTTTTTGAGACGTATTTGAGAAGCATTGGCGGCTTGTAGCCAAGTGTTTCCTCCCTACCTACTTGATATGACCGGAGTCAATCTACATATGTATCATTTCTGGAGCACGCAAATGCAAGTGTTTTCGTTTCAGTACTGGTAGTATACATGTTTATCGGGAAGAGTCGCTTTCCTGATCAGTGAAGGCTTGTTGGCAACAACAAGAATCAGAATCAACGGTGGTATAAACAATCTTATGTCTTCATTTTATGTACTGGAAGGATGAGACGAGGGATCTCCTACAAGAAAACGAACAAGATATATTACTAATGATCATGGGTATACTCAGTAGAAGCGCAACAAATGAAGAGCCAGAAGCAAGTCCAGCGTCCAACATGTGTCATTGTTACATGAGGATTAGTGTTTGAAAGTGTATTAGTGACGGTGGAAGGCATGGTGGAGGTGGGAATGGCAGTATGCGATTGGGAAGATAACTGAGCCTGAGTTGTGCCACTAGATTGTTGTGTGGTATTGCTATTAGGAGGACGTGGGGTGCTTGTAGCAGGCTTCTTTGATTTCAAGGGAATTATTGGCCTCCGCCTTTCGTGTGCTGATGCGTACCTCTGTGTGAGATGAGACAAGGTTTGAATATCTGAGAAGGAGAAGTGTGACATACGCGTTGGGCCTGGCAATGGGAGACATCAACTACTGAGGGACGCTCGCGCGGCTCGATATCTTCACCGCTTGGTCTGCCACTGGCAGAGAGGTGATTTCGAACCCAGTGGAAAGGGTGGGGTCGCGAAGACGTATCGTGGGCGTCGGAGTGGAATAAAGAGGAAAATCGATCACGAAGGGTGCTTAGATGCGATGCCGAAGATCGTGGAGAAACCTGAGAACAAGTCAGGAAAAACTGAACTGGATTAGACATTGATAACGCACATGAGCCCGATCTGGTAAGTCGTCAAAAAAACCATGGGGCACCCGGCGCTGGGGGACGATGATTGGCTGACGGGCTGGACGTGGTGGACGTGGTGTGGGCTTAGCATCATCCTAGAAGTAATAGGTTCAATTGCGATAGGATATCAGCAAATAAGACCTGATCAGAAAAAGTGACACGTACAGCAAGGACCAGCTTGTTCAACAGAAGTTCGCTAAGCCCAGCTTCTTGTAGTATCCCACAAACGTCCCATGTATATGCATTTTGATCACTGCAGCCAGTGACTAGTAGCTTTCCATCTGCCGAAAATGACACAGAACGCACAAAATGTACACGCTGGAGGGGCGAGCCGATGGGTTGGTTGTTCTCCAGGTTCCATAATCGTGCTGTCGTGTCATGTGATGCGCTTGCGAAGATGCGGCCATTCGGAGATATTGCAATGAATCCGACAGCCCAAATGTGCCCCTTCCAAACTGCGATCTGTTTCCAAGTTGTAGTACTCCATGTCCCAATCGAGCCATCGCGGGACCCTGATATAAGCGTTTTTCCATCTCGAGTCCAAGCCAGGGACCACACTGAATCAACTGCTTCAAGAGTAGCTACAAGCTTGCCAGTCTTGGCATCCCAGATTCTGATGAAAGAGTGTCTGGCATCACTAGTTGCAAACATGGTCATGTCTGGCGAGTAGACCACTGCCAACACGTATTCATGCCCTGCCTTGATTGGTGCGAGGTATGCCTTTCCGCTCTCTACATCCCATTGTCTTGCAGTCCCATCGTAGGATCCGCTCAAGACTCGCCGACCGTCTTCACTCCAGCAGACAGAAACCGCTGGTTTTGTATGCCCCATCCATCTCATGATGATTTTGCCTGTGTCCGTGTCCCACAACGTCACTCCCCCATCATCACTTCCGCTGGCCACTTTCTTCCCGTCCGGAGACAACGCCATGGTCCACACTGAACTGCCTGTGTCCCGCCAGTCGTCTCCTATCTGTTTTCCACTCTTTATGTTCCATACCCGCAGCGAGCCGTCGCATGAACAAGTCATTATCCGTTGCCCGCCTGGTAGATGTACGGCGCCGCGGACCGGACTGGTGTGTCCCTTAAATTTCTGGTGAGGCTTGATCTCCTGTCCTCCAACGATGGGTGAAAACATCTAGGCGGAGCTCCGTTTCAGCTTTCATCTGGTAAAGTTCAAAATTATCACTTACAACGATATGTTCCTCAGCAGGTCACGACGTGTTGATACCAAGACACAAAGAGTAGGTCAAAGTGCACTGGGATTTTAACGTGTTCGCTTCACAGCTTCTAACGGGCTGTGCAACTAAAGCGCCCAAGCCTTGTTTCTCATCGACTCCACTATCCTAACTCCCTTGTTTACTGTCGGTCTATACACCAAACTGCGCCTCACCACCTTTGCTATGTCTTGCAGATGATCTCGTCCTCACGCTTTCTTTTCAATCTTGTCATGGACGCTGCTCTTCTCCTAATCGCAGGAAACGAAACATGCCCTCAGCCGCAGACATCAGAGCACTTGGCCAGGGTTGAAATCATGAAGTTGGGAAGCATCGATAATTTGCAGAACAAGGTCGACTTGATCAGGCTCTTGAGCACAAAAAAATCAATTGTTGTATTTGTTAAGGATGGGTCTTCCGTGGCATCCATCATCCAATGTTGTATTAATTCTCGTAACAGGCACGGCATCACTCATCGTTTCGATATGCAACCGAAGTACAACATCGACGCTGTCAACGAATACAATACAAAGCGTCTACCCATCCCTGTCCGCGACTTTGCTTTTCGATCCCCGTCTCATCCGTTCCTTCGATGTCAACAAACCCGGTGCTAAGGTCCACGGGCTCAAAGGTGCTGTTGCTGGTGGTTTCATTCTCACGGGTCAGGGTGGGAAGCAAAGATCTGTCCGGGATCGTAACGAAAAACACTCATGGTCTTTCAGACCCGGTTTCTATGTTATGGGAAAGTAGTCTGCTAGACCCACCCTCCTGCCATCTATTGATAACATATCTTCCTAGCGTGCCCTCGCACCCCTTCAGATGACCCTCCCATTCCTCCAGAAAACCCTCGCCCTTTTCAAAAAACCGTACTTCGTGGGGTAGTAAAAAGGTTCTCTAATCCGCTAAGTTATCTATTTTTGTCAAACTATCAAGATTTTCGCGAGATGATGACATTATGTCTAAAGGATTATCATATATGGCCACTCGACTTAATAGGAAGACGCTTTCGAGGAATGTGTTCGTTCTTGCATTGACAATGTTTCCTGCTGCCCTGGGTTATCGTTGGGCAAGCCCACATGAATCACCTGCGTGAAAGGTCCAAAACTGAGACTGATTTCGGAAATCTCGGGTTCGTAGACTGTCTGTGGCTGCAAGTAGGATTCCCGAGCGATGAAGCTGAGCAAGATATCAGTAGTCTCTTCTATCACCCCTGAGAACGACTCACTTGGCGAGAAGACATGTAGCATATACTGACGAGCCAGAACGTTAGAACATTCCGTGTACTTGAGTTGATAACAACAAGACACTCACACCCTCCAATAGGAATACACATGTATAGATGAAAAATCTCGAAACGGCAGGCCACCCACTACATCGAAGTTAGAGACATAGTTAATGCACGAGACAAAGCACTCACAAGTGCAATGGTGATGGATGCCGCCACGCTACACAAGAAGCGGTGAGTAAATACCCACTGTCAATACCAAGTAACTTGCGTTGTAATCAGACCCGTTTGCGAGCAGAATATGATGAGTTTCATGATCATTTGACTAGCTCTGAGCACGAAGATGGTCAATTATACAGGTTAATTTCATACTCGAATTCATTAATCACCTTGGCGACACGCCTTTGCTGTGTTTGTAGAGAATGTAGCTCAAAGTTCCAGCGATGAGAACATCATTGATTGCTGAACAACCAAGCGCGATCGAGGTAGACCACTTCATCCTTGTGATATTGTAGTCAAAATTATCATTAAGATTGGCACTGTTTTCCGTATTTGAGAAACACGAAACAGGATGACATTGATGGAATCGGACTTACATGAAGATTGCAGTAAGAAGACCAAAAACTATTTTTCTGTGATTAGCTAGTGATTATCCGTTGCAAAATAAAGTACCGCACCTTGCTCCATGGCACAAAATGCAATCTGATTGGCGCAATTAGTTGTTATTTTTGAAGTAGCCAAATGCAGTGCCTACCAGAACAAATGTTATTCTCCGTTTGCCATAGAGACTCTTCTCAACTTCATGCACGCATAAAAAATAAGTATATTTGTAGTACATCAGCAGGACGTACGTCTGAAGACCCTATATATGAAGACGCTATGCACAAGGGACATGGTGAAGGACTGTGAAACTACAGTGAGTTTGATTGGTTCGAGACCGGGGGAAGAAAAGCCCCACTCACGCATATTCCGGTATAAAGCGCCCAGTCGCTGTCGTTGTGTCAGAAAATGCCTTGATGAGTCGCAGACGATACTAACGTCGACATATAGCCATAGAAATGGGATCTATCATCGAACTCCATCATATGAACGGTCGATAGCCGAATAGTAATTGTCCTAGTAGCAGGACTTCCAGCAGCCTGTACATATATTTTCTATGGGGACTCACATTTCAACAGCTTGCATCAACCTGTAACGCAAATGTCAGTCTTTCCGTCAATTACTGCATGTATAATTACCAAATGAAGGCAACCTGGTTTGCACTGTCAGCGATTAGTCTTTGGTATCAACGCAAATTTGTACCAGAGCTTTGTTCTGCCTGTTCTCTCGAGACCGAATTCTATGTCTCCAGAAATAGATCCAGACTTGTGCGGTCAAAATTGAGAAAGTTCTGTCGGCCTTTGTTAGCATATGACTGGTGATAGGTTCTCGACAACACAATCATACATAGATGATATTCCCAAACCAGTTATCAGGGGAATCATGTTTCTACTAGCGAAACTATGTGCCGCTGCGACTTGGGCCATGTAGTTGCTACTGGTTTCAAATTTTCTTTGGAGGATGAGATGGAGGTCGAAGGAACTTTAGAAGAGTAGCAACTAATAGTACAGATATAAGTCACATAAAGCTGGCGAATGGAATGTCCCGGTCAGAGCGCAGAAAGGTATGGGCGCAACACTTAGCTACTAGTAGTAATACTGATATTTGACGGGATCAATGTTTCGGGCTATTCAACTAGCTACCGTATAATCATCAGAGGACTGGTGAGCCACAGATAATGTCATCTATGCCGATATATGATCATGTTTTCGTTATAAAGTCATGTAAGGCGTGTAGAACATCGGAAAACCGCCGCAATCAACGTAAAGCACCCTGGGGAGACTCACGAGTTCTCTGATGAAAGTTTACCTATCTATAAGGCCATTTTTGTAATGAGTTGTAGCTGTGAGGCACACCCCGATAACTTTCAAATTCGATTGCGAGTTCCACCTCACACTCACCAGCCATCTCGACCGCTCAGACAGACAACTACCAATGTCAGTGCGGTTATGCCATAGTCCATATGTGCACACGTCCCGTCAGTCCAATCCTCTCCTATCGGTTTCTTGCGGGGATGCTGGGACTGATCAATGCGGCAACTGCCGCAACCAACTGCCGCGGTGTTCCTGAATCCTTTATGATAGCTGTTATGAACGACTTAGCCTTCTCGGAGATGAATGATGAGATAGGTTTAGACGATGAGTGTGACTTGGTAGATGGGACCTGAGGCCTGAGGCCTGAGGCATCAGATGCCTTCTTTACTAGTGGGAGCTTCAATTAGATAGACCACTGGTAGGGTAAACTTCCCGATTTGGTAAAACCCACCGATGATTGGACCTGTAGTAAAGTGTCGCGGGTAGCCCAATTTGTTTATGATATTCCGTGGTCAATATACAACCGCATCTCATCACATACCCCAATTCACTGATGTCCCAGTATCAAATTACCACACGCAATAACCCTCCAGAAATGGCCATAGACTATGTCTGTCCTGAGAAAGCATCATGAAGCCGAATACCTGGAAATAACTCAGGCTGGAGCGCTGATGAATCTTGCAGAGGCCCTAGACTACCCGGGAGGCGTCGCACTTCATGGGAACAGCCTGAGTGATTTGATACCAGATTACATCTGTGTCATTTTGTGAACATAGCACTGCTAGCTGCGCATTTGTGACGTTAAAATCTTCACAGCAATGCAGCAGACTGCATGGAAATCATACACAGTACGCCCGGGCCTTTCGAGATACTTGGCGGCTGTAGAGTTGGAGTTGATGATAAGGCGCGGGCAGGATATGGTCAAAGGGACAGTCGGACAGCAATAGATGTACTTGTGTTTCAACTTTCAAGTGCAAACTTCGTGATAGCAAAAATTAGATCGTGAAGTTTTGAACTCCAACTGTTAGCCGAGTTGTCGCCGTGGCCACAGATTTCAATACAACCTAACTTGAAAAGATCGACCAGAAACTGAAAGTTGACTGACGTCGGTTGATTCGAGGAACAAAGGGTTGTGGGTTTGTGGGTAATGCATCGGGCCAGTGAAAATCGACAAAAATGAGGTAGATACAAATCAAGAAATTCGAGACAGCGGCAAAACTCTAATTTTTATGGAAGACAGGACAGCCGCGCTCACTTAGTCATGTCACAAACACATATAAGGCAATAGGACACCGTACACTTCGAACTGAAATAAATAAGTAGGTTTTATTCACTTATTTTACCAGAACAGCATGTTCCTTCCTCTACGTCCACGTATTTTGACCGTTTTTTTTCCCTGCTCACTCTCTATCTAGATTACGTCCTGACCAGTGACTGCTGCTACCCAAGGTTGCGAGGTGAGATAGTCCCTTCAATTCATCTGCATCACTAACACTAATGTTGTCTTCTCTCTCAGTGTCGTTTCAGCGCCAAGAACATGCTCCGTTCAAATCCGGGCCCGATTCGCACCATACATTCAAGCCTTCCTGCCATTCCTGTATCCTGCCCCAGTTGTGCATGGTCGCCGTTGGCACCAGTTCTCACCCCTCTCATCAACCAGGCGCTTCTCCCGTCGCATCAACAACCCCACTCATCACCCTAAACCTTGGGCCATCCGTCCAAGCGAGCACAATAACTCCGGTGAGTTTTTTATTTATTTTTATTTGCACTTCACTTCCTGGTCCGACACGCCTCTAGGAGGTGACTTGGACCAGAGGCTGTCAGGCTGCGAGGACACGCCTCTAGGAGGTGACTCTGAGCACTTAAGCCTGACAGCTTTTAACTTTTATCATATTGGTTCCTACTACCTACTATGTGTACTGACTTTGTTTCTTGTACCAGGCCATTTCTAGGTGGGGTACACCTTCTACGTGATTCGCGTCGTACAGTGCACACTGGTGTCAACACTCCTCCTCGATGCGAATCACGAGAGAACTCCTCCTCGATTGCATTATTGGAGGCCAAGGCATGATCAAAGGTGCTCGAAGTCCTTTTGAGGTAAGGGTTTGGTAAAGATGTCGGTGATATTGTCTTTAGATTTAACGTAGTGCAGTTTGAGGTGACCTTGTTCAACGTGTTGTTGAATCGAGTGGTGTTTGATATCAATTTGTTTCATGCACGCGTGGAAGGAAAACGGTGTAATTGAATGCTCGACATAAGTTTTAACAGTCTATCAAAACTTTTGTATCATGTATTACAAGGTCCATCAAAATATGTCTCCTAAGCATATACCTCCAATCCAAATCCTGGCCACTTGCAGTAATAGTTACAAACATGCTTCATCTCAAAGTCATCTACCATGCTTGCGATGTTTCCATCACCAAAAAGGTCATTTCCATCACTGACTGAGCTAGACAAGCAACTGTGATGAGCAAACATCGCAATTAATATGAGCTGAAAATATACACACCGGTGGGTCAATATTTGAGGATTGGTCAAAAGCTCAGTGCTTAAACTTCGTAAATGTCTGATTACCAGGACCGTCGAATGTCACCGGCTCCTCAAGGAGATACACCGCTGAAAATGTCCCTGCCTTAACATCTGCTGCGGGAGCTTGATTGGACATTCCCTGAGTGTTCGACGAGTGATGAGAAAATGCTAAAGCAATCCCTGCATCCACGAAGCACACACGGGGTATTTGGAAAGATGGAGGACTCAATGCTGCATCAATACAGTGATCAATGTATTCGTAAGTAAAGTTAAGGAGAGATTTCGCCCAGTACAACACATTACTTTTGTTTAAGAGCTTTTGGAGCTCATCTGCTAAGGCATAACGTGCGATCTTGAGGGTGCTGGATCCAGCGGCAGCAGTGTGAGAGGAAGGTCTGTAGAATGGCCGCTTAATGACGACATCCTGCTGAGTGCGGGACCCAAGGCCACTGGAGGACAGAGGGGACAGTGTGAGCCATCCTGGATGTGCTGTCTTGAAAGCACCAATCCCAATCATGCTGCGAAGGGGGACATCGATAGTGAGTTGGCCGATAGACAAATTGGAGATGTCAAGTCCGAATGAACGTTGTTGAGGAGTCTTCAAGATATCAGCTAGTGGACGCACAGGGATTTGATGGAATTGAATGTCCTCATTGTGTAGATCATAAACTAAACTCAATGCGCATTTAGATTCTAGAAATTAAGATGAGAATGAACTCTTACTTTTAGGTGCACGTGCAGCATCCATGCTACCTCCATTTTTCAAGGCCTCTTTCAGATCATCACGGTCAGGGAGGTGAAATACATGTGCCAGCTTCTTACGGGGAGGTGAGACAGTACTACTTGTGGAGTCACTCTTGCCTCGAATATGAGCTCGCTTTGCTGATGGACGTGTCTGAGTGGGTGCTGTGAGCCATCAAATGACTGAGTGATAGTAGGATGATTACATACCGCAGTAGATAGACTATGCACAGGTTCCAAGTCGTTACCAAAAGGGTCTTCATCTTCTTGTTGCGCAGCAAAAGGGTCTAGGTCTTCGTAGTCGTCCAAGTCAGTACTGACAGCATGAGGGTCTTGATCTTCAATATCAGTACGGATGGATTGGCATCATTGAAGCTGTTCGTGCAAGGTTTCCTAAGAGAACTATGAGTTAGTTGACGTGCAACACCCTGAACGAGTGAAATCTTACCTCTTCTTCAGTTCTTTCGAGCCATTCCTCATACTCACTCCACTGCGCTGCAGGCACAACAACCATGAGTGAAAATTTCTTAGTCTTGAAAGTCGTCGTCTTCGGTGCACGTCAAGATTGGACCAAGCACTGAGCCAAAAAGTATGGAATGGCAGGCAAATGCCCAGCTAGGTCAACCCAGGCAGCATCTCGGACGAGAAATTCTTGAGTGCACCAAGGAAATCCCCTTCCGAATGTGAGGATTTTGGGTAGAACGGTATCAAATGCAATCACTATGAGACTAGGGGCATCCAAGCGAGCATCAATATCCTTCTTTCCTTCACATATATTCTGGTATGAGTGTCAGAAATATAACAACAGAAGAGAGATAGAAAAAAACATACCCCAAAGTTGATACCGCATCCACTTTTCTTCCGTGAATTCCCCTCATACACAGCTGTTATCTCTAATGTGATAGTCTCCGCAGGGGGTGGAGTGTATGCTAGTTTAGCCCATCGCTCACGCTCCAAACTATATTGAGCATGGTGCGCCGAGTACCCTGCGGGACCAGGTGCCCTGTTCTGGCTGGAACTGACTGGTGGTTGTTGCCATGATAAAGGCACAGCAATATCTGAGCCTGGAAGGCGGCCCATATGCACAGCGCTACTCGAGGGCTGAGGTAGGAAAGGAACCACACAAGGGGGGTTGATAGTAGCTATGAAATTCCGCCATTGAGATGTAATTACAAGTTCTAAGTAGAGAAATGGGACTTACATCTGCGCTGTGCAGCATTTACACTTTGCCGTATGACGTTAGGATCAGGGAGTGATTGTGCAGCTAAATATAATCGATTGCGTCATTGATCAAAAATTACATAGGAAATTTAAGTGTACTTACAAGAAGGGCGAACTGAAGAGGGTCTTGAAGAGGGTCAGACTGATGTTGAAAGCTTCTGTGCATATCGCAAGTAACATGCTCTGCAGACGAAGCGACCAGGTTGGCTAGGCACAATGGTGGCAATGTAATGATATGGTGCACCTTTGAGGATAATGCTACCGCAAGCAGGTCGACCACAGATACGATCCTCCTTGGCAATAGCATCCTCAGTGAATTGAGATACAAGTTCCATGTTGGACATAACGGCAGTGGCAGTAAGTACTTGTGCAATGAGGATGAGTTTAAGGAATACTGTTAGAACAATGGCCCTACGACACTTGAGAGACAGACTTATATATTGGACCATCCAGGACAACTCACTGCTTGCATCTAAGTTGAGGTTTATCCCACAGCACTGAGGTGCATCTAGTAAGTTGAGAGTTGCCAAATTCTCCATGTTGGATAGTTAGGATCAGAGTCACCATGATTATGGTCATATTCAGTTGGTGTCGAGCCAAAACAGACTCAGAAAACTCAAACTCGGAAAACAGTGCATCAAGCATCCAGCGTGTTTGATGTGTCGGACTTTTGTATCGGACTTATTCTATAACCTTGCACCTGGGCTCAGTACAGCTGCGGACTTGTTCATGTTGGGCTCAGCCGCCATTTGTCATGTCCAACCTGTAAGTGTTGTGTTCAGCCTGCAAGACGTGCCTTGACTATTATCTTGCTGATTATCTTGCTGTATCTTGCTGTTGTTCAACCGCCTCTTATCTAAGATCTTTGTGTTCAAGTTAGTATTCAATGTGCCTGCCTGACCGACTCTTATTGAGATGTTTAGTGTGCCTGTTTTATTGAAGTCTTCAGTGCAGCGCTCAGTACGCTATTGGTGTTCAGTGTGCTTCTCTCTTATTGGTGGGTGTTCAGTGGCCTATGTGCTTATCTCTGACCCTTATTGAGGTGTTCAGTGCGCCTATTGTGCCTATTTGACTTACTGGTGGATATTAAGTGCACCTATCTCTGACTCTGATTTGTGGGTATTCAGTGCGCCTATCTCTGACTCTTATTGAGGTGTTCAGTGCGCCTTAGTGCACTCTTCTCTCATTGATGTTCAGTGCGCTCTTCTCTTATTGGTCTTCAGTACTCCTATTCAGCTGACTCTTATCTCTACCAGTACTCGCATTTGAGTTTTTAAACGCTGGCTGTATGGTGACCACCACTCGTACTGCTATGCCTAACCAGAACAAGCCAACCCGTACGTATTTCTGTATGTGTAGTGTACAGGCTGACATAACTTATGATATCAGCGCCTCTTGAAGAGATCACTCCGCATATTCTCAGGTACTGGAAAGCTCGTCAAACTGACAAGAAGATTGTAGAGAACTTGCGGAACCACTATGATACATCTTGTTATGGACTAGGGTCAGTCAATTTCCATTGATTAGTACTACTTTCCTAATGTTTGTGGGTAGGATCACGAAGTTCAAAGAGATACACAATGAAATGGGTCTTTTGCGTACCCGCAAGCAGAACCACTCAATTGAATCTATCCACGAAGCTATGGTCGAGCTCCGCCAGGCATACCCAAATGCTGGTGCGCGGGAAATGGTCATTTTGCTGTTTCACGAAAAGGAAATGAATGTGTCAAGGTAACTCATTCAATTACCATTGATCTGTAAGGGATTTGACTAGCCATCAAATAGAAATCTGGTGATATCATACTGTGCCGCCTATGAAGCAGACCTTGTACGTCAATGAAAAGCCGGTCGCCTTAAGCGCAGGCGGTTCTGGGCTGCTGGTGTCAATGATATATTGGCCGTCGACCAGCACAATAAGTGGCTTCGATTCGGTCTTGCGTTGCATACTGGGGTAGAGCCATTCTCTGGCCGTATCATGTGGATCCGAGTCTGGAATTCGAACCGCAACCCTCAACTCATTCTCACATACTATCTCAATACCATCGAGAAACTGGGCTGTAAGTTCATTTAAATAACTATCTATTGCACTATTTACTTATTCAAGTTGCCCTACCTGGGTATGACAGACATTCCAATGGTGACTCAGAGTGATCCTGGCACTGAAAACTACGGAATCGCCAATGCACATACCATGCTGCGTCAAATGTATGATCCAGCACTGCAAGGTACATTACAACACTGTTGGATGCGAACAAAGAAGAATGTGAAACCAGAGATCACCTGGTCTCAGTTATGGCATCAGTTTACCCCTGGTTTTGAAACACTTCTGGATGAAGGAGTGGAGAATGGCTGGTATGATAGTGACAACACCCTTCAGGTGTAAGTGACCTTCGCTCTAGACCTCTGACATTTTAAGTTTGCTTACAGTTGTGCATTTAGCATGATCTTCCGTTGGGTCTTCATTCCATGGTTGCAGTGTGAGCTAGATAGGTATCAGGACCATGTTAACAACACCCTCAAGAGGCCAGATCGTAACAAGGTATTTCAATGGTATTCATTTACATTCATTTAGCACTTACGATCACATAATTTAGGTGCTTCCACACGGTGTACCTAATCTAATATATGAGTCTGCAGAAGATTTTGGAGCTTTAGACTTCAAGGTATATTTTATTTGAATGCTACTTGAATCACATTGTAACTAACTGGCTTATCATTCTACTAGGTAACAGTCAAACAAGATGCTATAGACCATGTCCGCAATATCTATGTGAAACCCGATCATCCTGTCTTTGATTTGGTTCCCAAACCGCTCAATGATCTTATTCAAGACTGTTATGATGATTTAGGCCGTCCTCCAGTCACTCGCCAGTCCACGTGGACAATTTACTTAGATTTGTATCATTCCATTCAGCACTCTGCACAGATATCAGTCATTGTCGATTCTCTTACAGATGCCACCGACTCGGATGAAGAGCCTTTGCCTCTCCTCGAAAGCCAAAAGGACCTGTTTTTTCATGGGGATACTGATAGTGCTTACTACATGGGTGGTATTCACGGTGGACATGGTCTCAGTATGTTTTTCTCAGTTTGAATTAACTTTGTTTTAAATTATTGTACAACAGATGCATCTGATCATCGCCGGCTGGATGAACTGGCTGAGCTGGATGAACCAGGTGCCGACTTACTCCCTACAGCTCTGATCATAGAAGAGGAGGGTTTGGTCATTACAGGATTCTCTGATGAGGAGGACAATGATGAAACATATGTTTGGTAGCTTACTGTAGAGTTCATTTTTTTGTGTTCTTGTTTTTGTCGTCCTTTGGGCTATAGTAATATGGCGCTTGGCCACACATTGATTAAAAAAAATTGAGCGGGCACAGGTGTACGGAGTCCCTGCATCACACCTGCCTAGTATGGGGTGTCGTCACCCTATGTAACGAGCGCGGCTGTCCTGTCTTCCACAAGGAAAAAAAATGCACACACCTTGATCACGTAGTTGGCAACTGCGCAACGAACTTACGGCAAACTTTGCATATGCACACGTTTCATTAATGCAGCATGCGTGTGTGTGTAACTTAGCCATCTATGTGTGTTATGTTTATTACGAGTCAGTGCACTGGTTGAACCATGCGCATCTTCTCATCCGCCGCCCACCCTGTCATTCGTCCCCACCGCGACGCCGGCTCGATACAATCATTTCCTTGTGTTTCGAGTTAGCCCGCAACTGTATCTCCCATGGACTACTAACATCAGGAAGACGTAAGTCACTACAGAGCGCTCTGTAGTGTTCTGCTAGTACAATTCAACCCGCTGATGCTAGTACATAGCACAACACGACACACGCTTTTGAGACGTATCAGGAAGCAGTGGGGGCCTGTAGGCAAGTGTTCTGTCGACTTAGTAGACTGATTCGCTACCTACTAGCTTGATGTGATCGGAGGTTATCTACATATATCATTTGACAAGAAAACGGACGGAATATATTACTGATGATTATAGGCATACTCAGTAGAAGCGCAACAAAATTATAAGAAATGATAAAGGACATCTTTAAGAAACGAAGAAATAAACAGGTTAGACTAATTATGACCGTCAGCATACTCAGAAGAGGAACAGCATATGGAGAGCCCAAAACGAGTCCAGCGTCCAGCGTATCTGATTATGACATGAGGATTGGTGTTTGGAGTAGTGTTAGTGACGACGGGAGGTGCAGTGGCAGTGGAGACAGCAGCGTGTGCTTGAGAGGACTGGGCTTGAGAAGCGGCATTAGAATGTTGTGTGTTATTGCCATTGGGAGGACGTGAGGTGCTTGCGGCAGAGTTCCCAGGTTTCAATGGAATTATTTTCATCCGTCTTTCTCTTGCACATGCGTTCCTCTGTGTTGTATGAGATGGGATTTGAATATTCGAGAAGCAAACAGACAACATACACGTTTGCCCTTGGCATAGGGAACATCGACTACTGCTGAGGGACCCTCGCGAAGCTGGATATCTTCATCGGTTGGTCTCCCAGAGAGACGACTTCGAACCCAGTGGAAAGGGCGGGGTCGCGAAGACGTATCGTGGGCGTCGGGATAGAATAAAGAGGAAAACCGGTCACAAAGAGTGCTTACATGCGATGCCCATGATTGAGGGTGCTGAGAACATGCAAGTCAGGAAAAACAGTACTGGATTAGATATTAATGACGCACGCGAGCCCGATCTGGTAGGTCGTCAAAAAAACCATGGGGCACCCGGCGCTGGGGGATGATGATCTGCTGACGGACTGGACGTGGTGCAGCATCAGCCTAGAAGGAATAGGTTCAATTGCGATAGGATAGGATCTGATCATAGAAAGTGTCACATACAGCGAGGACCGGTTTGTCCAACAGAAGTTCGCTAAAGCCAGCTTCTTTTAGTATCCCAGAAACATCCCATGAATACGCATTTGTGTCATCGCAGCCGGTGGCTAGTAGCTTTCCATCTACCGAAAATGACACAGAAGTCACCTGGTGTGGATGCTGGAGGGACGAACCGATGACATATTCAGTGGGCGCACTGGCATCCAACACTGCGACCTGTTTCCAAGTTGTAGTACTCCATGTCCTAATCAAGCCATTGCGGAACCCTGATATAAGCGTTTTCCCATCCTGAGTCCAAGCCAGGCACCACACCCAACCAGCTTCAAGAATAGCGACAAGCTTGCCTGTCTTGCCATCCCAAATCTTGATAAATTGTTCGTATCCACCGGTTGCAAACATGGTCATGTCTGGCGAGTAGACGACTGCAAACACGGATTTGTGCCCTGTCTTGATTGGTGTAGGGTTTGCCTCTCCGCTCTCTACATTCCATTGTCTTGCAGTCCCATCGTCAGATCCGCTCAAGACTCGTTGACCGTCTCCACTCCAGCAGACAGAATTCACTCCCTTTGTATGTTCCATCCACTTCACAATGACTTTGCCTGTGTCCATGTCCCACAACCTCACTCCGCCATCTGTATTACACCCGCTTACCACTTTCTTCCCGTCCGGAGACAACGCCATGGTGTACACTTGACTGTCTCCGTCCCGCCAATCGTCTCCTATCTGTTTCCCACTCTTCAAGTTCCATACCCGCAGCGAGCCGTCCAATGAACCAGTCATTATCCGTTGTCCGCCTGGTAGATGTATGGCACCGCAGACCCAATCGGCGTGTCCCTCAAATTTATGGCGAGGCATTATCCTCGAGGTTTCCTGTCTTTCAACGAAAGGCGAAGACATCTAAGCGGAGCTCCGTTTCAGCTTTCATCTGGCAAAGTCCAAAATTGTCACTTACGACGATATGTTCCTCAGCAGGTCACGAGTTGTTGACACCAGAACACGATGAGCGTTAAGTCAAAAGCGCACTGGAAGTTTAAGCTGGCACGTCCTCGTGTTCGCTTCACAGCTTCTAGCAGGCTGTGCAACTGAAGCGCCCAAGCCTCGTTTCTGATCAATTTCACCATCCTAACTCGCCTGCTTCCCATTGGTCCATACACCAAATTGTGCCTCACCACCCTTGCTATGTCTTGCAGATGATTTTGTCCTTACGCATTATTTTCGATCTCGTCATGGATGCTGCTCTTCTAATCGCAGCAAACGAAACACGCCCTCAGCCGCAGACGTCGGAGTACTTGGCCAGGGTTGAATGAAGCTGGAAACCATCAATATTTTCCAGAACAAGGCCAACTTGATCAAGCCTTTGAGCACCGAACATCGATCGCTGCATTCATCAAGGATGGATCCTCCAGGGCATGAATCGTCTAATATTTCACTCGTTCTTGTAACAGGCACGGTTGTCGAGTTGTCACCCATCGTTCACATCCGAAATACAACATCCCCGCTGTCAACCAGTACAATGTAAAATGTATACTTATCGCAGTCTGCGACTTTACTTCCGATCCCCGTCTCGTCGTTATCCATTCCTTCGATGTCATCAAGCCTGGTGCAGAGGTCGATGAGTTCAAATGTGGTTGCTGGCGGTTCTGTCCTCATAGATGTACTACGGACTAGGGCAACATGTCAAGATTCGTCTGGGGATCGTAAAGAAAGACACTTAGGGCCGGAACCGTGCAAGACCATTTTCAGCAGGCTCGTCTCTCTGCACGCCGAGAACAAACACTTGCAGTTCCAGGAGAGCTGATTGCCTCGTTGGTCAAGTGCTGAATGCGATTGAGAAGTTCCCGAGGTTCTATAATGGTGAGGATCCTGGTTTTGTATATACTGTCGGGTTCTAAAGAGAATTCAGAGCTTGAGATATGCTCGTTCCTTCTCTGTTGTTCGTACGGAGGAGAAGAAATAAACAAAGGTCTTGGAACTGGCCAAGAACGAGCTCCGCTGCTGCCAGTGGTTGACAGTGGTTGGACACCGACTGGTGGGCGGGTATTAAGCGTGCGAGAAGATCTCGCGAAGGTTCAACTGATTTCACCAGCATGCACTGAGGTCAGAGAGATGGTCGCGACTTCGAGACGTATCGAGAAGCATTGGCGGCTTGTACGCAAGTGTTTCTGTCGACTAATTGGACGGATTTGCTACCTACTGTTGAGAGCTGATCCGTCAGAGTGATCCGTCAGAGCATCCGAACCGGTATCAGTCCAATATTGCATCTGTCATTGCACGTCACTTACCTAGTTACGATTATTTTCCTTCTCTCTCTCGCTATATAAGACAGCTGAACGCTGCCGTCGCACCTCAGTCTGTTTGACCATTGACTGAGGTGTGTACGTTGTTTCTATTCCTACAGTACATGATATTCATTAGCGCATTTCTAGACTCGCGTTACGATAGGTTCGTACATAGGAATCAACAGTCTGTTTGACCATTGACTGAGACTCGCGTTACGATAGACTCGCCTTTCAACACCTACTTGATGTGACAATCTACCTATTCGTCATTTCTGGAGCACGCAAATGCAAAAAAAATTCATTTCAGTAGTCAACATGTTTATTGAGAAGTGTCGCTTTCGTGATCAGTGAAGGCTTGTTGACAACAACGAAAACATAGAATCGACCATGGTATGTAAAGTGTTCCGTAAATTCATGTCTCCATTTTATGTACTGGAAGGATGAGATGGGAGATATCCTTCGTAAAGGACAAGGAAACGGACGGGATACATTACTGACGATCAAGGGTATACTCGGAAGAGGTGCAACAAATAAAGAGCCAGAAGCGAGTCCAGCTCCAGCATGTCTTATTGTTACATGAGGATTAGCGCTTGAAGGCGTATTAATGACGGCGGGAGGTGCGGTGGAAGGGGAGACAGCAGCCTGTGCATGCAAAGACTGGGCTTCAGATGTGCCATTAGAGTGTTGTGTGGTATTGCTGTTGGGAGGACGTGAGGAGCTTGCGGCAGGGTTCCCAGGTTTCAATGGAGTTATTTTCATCCATCTTTCTCTTGCTGATGCGATCCTTTGTGTTGTATGAGATGGGGTTTGAATATTCGAGAAGGAAGAAGACTACATACACGTTTGTCCTTGGCATATGGAACATCGACTACTGCTGAGGGACGCTCGCGAAGCTCGATATATTCACCGGTTGGTCTGCCAGAGAGATGATATCGGACCCAGTGGAAAGGACGTGGTCGCGAAGACGTATCGTGGGCGTCAGGGTAGAATAAAGAGAAAAGTCGGTCACGAAGAGTGCTCGCACGCGATGCCCATGATTGAGGGTGCTAAGAACATGCAAGTTGCGAGAGGATCTCAGCAAATAGGACTTGATCATAAAAAGTGCTACGTACAGCAAGGACCGGCTTGTCCGACAGAAGTTTGCTAAGGCTAGCTTCTTTTAGCATCCCAGAAACGTCCCAAGTGTACGCATTATTGTCGCTGCAGCCAGTGGCTAGTAGCTTTCCATATGCCGAAAACGACACAGAACGCACGACATGTGGATGCTGGAGGGGTGAACCGATGGGCTGGTTGTTGTCAAGGTTCCATAATCGTACTGTGTTGTCCCAGGATGCGCTCGTGAGGATGCGGCCATTCGGAGATATTGCAATGAATTCAACACACCCAAGCCTAAGGTACTCATCGGCCAACACTGCGGTCTGTTTCCAAGTTGTAGTACTCCATATCCCAATCGAGCCACTGCGCAACCCTGATATAAGCGTTTTTCCATCCAGAGTCCAAGCCAGGCACCACACCATATCAATTTCAAGAGCAGCGACAAGCTTGCCTGTCCTGGCATCCCAAATTTTGGCATGCTGTCTGGATCCGACGCTAGTCGCAAACATGGTCATGTCTGGCGAGTAGACGCCTACCCAGATGTAGTAATCGTCGGTCTTGATTTCTACGAGCTTTGCCTCTCCGCTCTCTACATCCCATTGTCTTGCAGTCCCATCGCGAGATCCGCTCAAGATTCGGTGACTGTCTCCACTCCAGCAGACAGAATTCACTGCCTTTGTATACCCCATCCATTTCACAATGACTTTGCCTGTGTCCGTGTCCCACAACCTCACTCCGCCATCCTCACTCCCGCTGGCCACTCTCTTCCCATCCGGAGACAACGCTATGGCGTACACTGGACTATCTCCGTCCCGCCAGTCGTCTCCTATCTGTTTCCCACTCTTCAAGCTCCATACCCGCAGCGAGCCGTCCCATGAACAAGTCATTATCCGTTGTCCGCCTGGTAGATGTATGGCGCTGCGGACCAAATTGGTGTGTCCCTCGAATTTCTGGTGAGGCTTTATCCTTGAGGTCTCCTGTCTTCTAACGATAGGTGAAGACATCTAGGCGGAGCTCCGTTTCAGCTTCCATCCTACAAAGTTTAGATTCACCACTTACAACAATACGTTCCTCAGCAGGTCACAACGTGGTGACAGCAAGACACAATGAGCCTCAGTGCACTGGAAGTTTAAACTGGGACGTCCTCGTGTTCGTCTCACACCTCAGGTATTACTTTTCGGAACCAATAATGGTCTTTGAGATCCGGTTTCTATGTTATGGGAAAGTCGTCTGCTAGATCCATCCTCCCGCCATCTATGAATAACATATCTTCCTAGCGTGCCCTCGCGCCCCTCCAGAAGACCCTCCCGTTCCTTCAGAAAACCCTCGCCCCCTCCAGAACACCGTACTTCGTGGGGTAGTAAAAAGGTTCTCTAATCCGCTAAGTCGTCAATTTTTGCAAAACTATCATGACTTGGAACAAAATTCACGAAGTTCATCATATCTAGTCTAGTTTTGTATCGGAGGGTTTTCCTGATGGATTCATAAGTAGAGGATAACGATGCATGTAGATATACCTTGCGCTGCCACATTCTAGCCGATTATGCTTATCGTTTTTATTATAACATATGTTTTCAGTGATTTGAACACAGGATTTATGCACAGCGGCATTCCGACGGAAATATGTCTCATAGTAGTCTAGGAAAACGGAGGCATTGTGAAGAATCAGGAAATGATATGTGTTCCTTCTAATAGTCTGACTGCGATCCTCGATGAATGTAAATACAGTGGATATCGAACAAATTCTTGACACATACGTACGATGATGAATTTAACTCTAGGAAATTACGACAACACCGATCGCGAGATGGTGAAGGATTATCATATATAGCCACTCGACTTAACAGGAAGACGCTTTCGAGTATTGTGTTCCTTCTTGCATCACCAATGTTTCCTGTTTCCCTGAGTTATTGTCTGGCAAGCCCACATGAGTCACCTGCGTGAAAGGTCCAAAACTGATTTCGGAAATCTCGAGTTCGTGGACTGTCTGTGGCTGTAGATAGGATTCCCGAGCGATGAAGCTGAGCAAGATATCAGTAGTCTCTTCTATTACCGCTGAGAACGACTCACTTGGCGAGAAGACATGTAGCATATACTGACAAGCCAGGACGTCAGAACATTCCGTGTACTTGAGTTGATAACAACAAGACACTCACAGCCTCCAGTAGGAATACACATATATAGATGGTAAGTCTCGAAACGGCAAGCCATCCACTACATCTAAGTCAGAGACATAGTTGATGCATGAGACGAAGCACTCACAATTCCAATAGTGATGGATGCCGCCACGCTACACAGGAAGCGGTGAGTAAATACCCATTGTCAATACCAAGGAACTTGCGTTGTAATCAGACCCGTTTGCGAGCAGAATACAATGAGTTTCATGATCATTTGGTTAGTTCTGAGCACGAAGACGGTCAATTATACAGGTTAATCTCATACTCGAACTGATTAATCACCTTGGCGATACGGTCCTGTGTTTGTAGAGAATATATACCAAAGTTCCAGCGATAAGAACATCATTGATCGCTGAACAACCAAGCGAGATCGAGGTAGACCACTTCATTCTTGTGAGTTGTCAATATCCCGGTCAAGGGTAGAACAAACTTACAATAATCATGACATCGTAGTCAAAATGATCACTGAGATTAGCACTGTTTCCCGTATTTAAGAAACACCAGACAGGACGACATTGATGGAATTGGACTTACATGAAGACTGCACTAAGAAGACCAAAAGCTATGTTGCTATGATTAGGTAGCGAGCATCCATTGCAGGATAAAGTACCGCACCTTGCTCCATGACACAAAATGCAATCTGATTGGCGCGATTAGTTGTTGTTTTTGAAGCAGCCAAACGCAGTGCCTACCAGAACGAACGATATTCTCCGTTTACCATAGAGACACTTCTCAACTTCACGCGCGAATCAAAAAGAAGCATGATAGTAGTACTTCAGCAGCACGTACGTCTGAAAACCCTATATCAAAGGTGAAGAGACTCGGACTAGAGAAACTAAGGGCGAGAACAGAACTCAGTCTTGGTTCAAAAAGACTGAGGGAGATTGTTCGACGAGAGGAGGAATTAATACGTTTGATTGGGACGGAGAGTCAATAGGAAACGTGTATGACGCATGGTAGGAGGAGTGTTCGTGTATGTAAAATGAAAAGGCTAAGTACGTGTAAGGGTCATATCTTGATACTCCCACTCGAACGCAAAACGCTAGAGACGCGGGCGTGCTCATTCAACTGGGTCTTCGTTTGACGATGAACGAAGAGCAAGCGAGTGTCGATGGTTGCGGAAAAGTTTTCGTGGTAGGGATTTCGTGAAGATGTCGGCAATCATATCATGTGTGGGTACATAGGGAATGATGATGGTGCCGTCGCTGACCAGATCTCGAACGAAGTGATAGCGGACGCGAATGTGCTTGGCCCGGTCGTGGAATTGAGGGTTTTTCGTTAGTGCGCGACTTCCATTGTTATCACCATATAACGTGGTGGGGGTGATCAGCGAGAGGTCAAGACCAAAATCGCATAGCAGCTGGCTGAGATGGATCTGTTCGCGGGCCGCGTTAGAGAGTGAGATGTATTCAGCTTCAGTAGACGAAGTCGCAACGACGGATTGCTTTTGGGAACGCCAACTGATGGGGGAACCGAAAAGAAAGTAGACATAGCCCCCAATTGAGCGACTGTCGTCTTTATCAGACGCGAAGTCAGAATCCGAATAACCGATGAGTCCTTGGTTGGACAAACCAAACGTTAGGGAATGATGTGTGGATCCACGAAGGTAACGAAGGAGATGGTGAAGCTGGCGGTAGTGGTCTATGCCAGGGTTACTCAGATATTTTGACAGCGCCGATACTGCATATGCAATATCGGGACGACTAACGCGCATGGCGAAGTTGAGTTCCCCAACGACACGCGCGTATGGCATGTGCGCAAATTGTTGGATTTCGGCTTGAGTGAGGGGTGCAGATGACTTCGTCAAGGAGATCCCTGGAACCATGGGGGTAGATACTGGTCGACAATCTGACATCCGAGTTTCACTGAGAATCTGTTCGAGAAAGGAGGATTGGTTGACGGTAAGGTGCTTCTTAGAGCGATCTCGTGTAATGTGCATTCCTAAGAAATGACGCGCTTCACCAAGGTCCTTCATTTCAAAACGTTTGCTCATCTCCGATTTGAAACCGTTAAGGAAATCCCGACAGTTCGATGCGAGCAACATGTCATCGACGTAAACAAGGAGCCAGATGGTCTTGTCATCTTTTCGTAAAACATACAGACTATAGTCTGCTTCGCTACGAACAAAATTAAAACCTTCTTTTCGCAGGAAATCATCGAGTGTCTTGTTCCATTGACGACCGGCTTGCTTGAGTCCGTAGATGGCCTTGAGGAGTTTCCAGACCCAATCTGGATGCTCAGGGTCTTCGAAGCCTGGAGGTTGACGCATGTAGATTTCTTCGTCAAGCTCGCCATTGAGAAAGGCGGTCTTCACGTCCATTTGATCAAGTTCAAGATCAAACTTAGCGACCATGGAGAGTAGTGCACGTACGGTGTCGTATTTTGCAACAGGAGCAAAGGTGTCGGTGTAATCTAGTCCTTCGATCTGTGTGAAACCCTGCGCAACAAGGCGGGCCTTGTGGCGGGCAATCTGGCCATTTTCGTCATACTTGTGCGAGTACACCCACCGTGAGCCGACTGCTTTTCTCCCTGATGGGAGTGGTGTTAAGACACCCACTCCTTTTTCTCCCAACGAAGCTAACTCTTCATTCATTGCGCTTTCCCAATGACCCGAATCCATTGACAAGCGAGCGGCAGCTATCGTTTTGGGGGGAAGCTTCCGTCCATCAATCTTGTTGCTGTCCGCCAAGGATACATGCTTCGCGGAGTGCTCAATGGTGACATCGGGGGTAGCACTAATACTAAGATTTTCTTCTTCAACAACCTCCTCCTCAACAGTGACCGGTACATAAGTCCAACGCCGCTGTACTGGGACATGTTTTGTTGGGATGGCAACAGTTTTCGGGACTGCTGGTCGCGCGTCAATGCGTTGACGTGTCGAACGTCGTGGCTCAGGAGATGGTACCGTTTCTACCGGAACTTCAGCAGGGACAGGGAGAACATTGTCGTTCGACTGCGGGAATGGCTGTGGAGGTTCGGGGATGAGAGGAGCAGAAGTCGGAAGTACTCCCACTGAAACGGTACTGGGTCCTGGTAGTGTAATACCGGAATCATCTTCTCCAGGTCGTGTGGTTCTGAAGCCGTCTTCTGATATCGGCAAATCATGTGGCAATGCGAGGGTGGGCTGCTGCATTGCAATGCGCTGGTTGTGTAATTCAACGAGGGGCGAGAGAACTGAGTTGGGTGTGCCGTAGAAGAATTTTTCATCAAAAAGGACATTTCGAGAGCGCACCGTCTGTCGTGTTGCTGGATCCCATAGAAGATATCCCGCATCTTTGACGTGCCCCAGTAGGAAGCACCGTCTCGAAACAAAGTCGTACTTGTGGCGATTGTCGTCTGGGATGTGAGCATATGCGAGGCAGCCAAACGGACGTAGGTGCGAGACATTTGGTAGTTCACCATAGAAGAGTTCAAACGGCGTTCTGTTGTCAGTAGCTGACGACGGGAGGAAGTTCTTGATGTATACTGAGTTGAGGATGGCGTGGCCCCAGAACGAACGAGGAAAACCACTCTGGTGATGGGCACTTAATGCTCGGGTGGCAATGGTCTGGTGTCCACGTTCGGCAACACCATTCTGTTCGGCTGTATGAGGCATCGTAAGTTCGTGCTCAATTCCTTTACTACGCAGGAATTCAATAGTAGCGTGAGAGACGTATTCGCCACCGTTGTCACTGCGGAGGCGTTTAACTCGTTGCCCTGACTGGTTTTCAATCCAGGCGATATATCGCAGAAGGTGCGAGTGTACCTCACTCTTGTGCTTAATGAGGTAGATAGTGGAATAACGCGAAAAATCATCAGTGAAGGCAACAAAGTATGTTTCGCCGGACGGGGTTGCAGTGTTGACGGGTCCCCAAACGTCAGTGTGAACAAGTTCAGCGACGTGCGTTGCACGGTGTCGAGCATGAGACGGGAACGGCAATCGTTTTTGTTTGCCCATTAGGCACGACGGACAGTCAATGTGGTCACCAGGTCCTGTAGACTCGTCTAACAGGTTAAGTGACAGTCCTAATACAACCTTCTCAGCTTTGCGCAAGGTGGAGTTTGCGGCATGGCCCATGCGTGCATGCCATACAGCTAGTGGTAATGGCGTAGCCGAGGTGGACCTGGTGGCAAAGGCCGTATGGGTGTGCTTGGCTCGAAGGTAGTATAGACCGGCAGAGCATTCCACACGTGCGATCACAGTCTTATCAGCACGACGCATTTGTCCTCCTTCAGCATCCGTTTCGAAGAAAATTCCCTCCGACGCTAGAGCAGACACTGATATCAGTGTGCACCGTAGGTCTGGTACGTGGAGGAAAGGGAGTTCGATAGACTCATGTCTTCCGTCGAGCACTAGCGTGATGAATCCCCAACCTGGGGCAAGAACAGTATCGTCATTCGCAAGTTTCACGATTAATGGAGGGTTGTAAGTTCTGTAGCGAGTGAAGAGGGAGTGATTGGATTCCATATGTGCGGTGGCGGCAGAGTCTACGTGGAATTGAAAAGAAATAGTGCTCGTATTAGAGAAACTAGCAGAGTGTGTAGGAAGACGAAGAAACGATGGAATGCCGTCAGGTTGTCCTGGTAGGGGAACTGATATGTCAGTACCTTGTGAAGGTGAGGGGGGAATGCACGCTGACGTGTTTGATGAGTCGGATTTTGCTAGACGAGCACGGCAGTTGTTCCAGATATGGCCTGTGCGCTTGCAAGATCCGCACGTCGAGCGCCACGACAACTCCCATTTATCTCCCTTGGAGGCGTCAAAATCCTTCGGTTTGGCACGCTCAGTAGGTTTACCTGCTTTCGCCACCCTAGCAGCCATGGCTGTGTGGTGCGCATGTGGGTTTGCAGAGCCGAAACTTGCATAATATTGTTCCGAGTTCCTGATCTGGCTGATGACTCCTTCCAGCGTTAGCTTCCCGGTATTGGCGTCAGCACTATGGAGTATGAGCTGGGAAAGCGGCGCATAGAAGTCGGGAAGGGCACGCAGTAGCGCTTGGACAAGGGTATATTCGTTGCACTTCCATTCGATGGATTCAATGACCTTGAATTGGGCCTTGATGTCCGTGATCTCCTTAATGGTCTTGGTAAGAGAGTCGCTATCAGATGCTTTGGGAAGGTCAAAGATACGGCCCATGAGGCTCGTAAAGCGGATGCCAACAGACGCCTGATACTTGTCTTCTAGCGCTTTCCAGATGACGGCTGGATCAGTGACACCCATGAAGTGGATGAGGTCACTTGAGTGTACCGTCATACCAAGGAGTCCTTTGGTTATGCTTTGGCGTTCTCGGAAAGAAATGACGTCCGCGCTCGCATCATGTGCCGCGAGGCGTTTGTTGAAGTCAGCCTCAGTCTCAGTGGTGCTTCTGGTTGGGCGCGGAGGACCCTTCTCATCTCCTGAAAGGAGGCGCCAAAGGTTGAAGAGCGAGAGCCAAAGGTCCATGGTCGTTACCCACGAGGTGTAGTTGGAGCCATTGGCGTCCAGAGGAGGGTGAGGAAAAGATGTTGGAATCCGGATGTTGGACGACGATATGGTGGACATGACAGGTGTCGAACGATGTGTCGGCGATGGCGACAATAGAATGGGAAGATTCAATGGGTGTGGTAACGAGCGAGTTGGTACGACAGGCGTTAATGGCGGCGATGGCGGCAAGGGAATGGATAAGATCCGCAGGTCAAGCGGGGATAGAGGGCGACCTTGTTCCAGTTCGGAAAAGGTCGGAGAGGCTCAGATAAGGCGAGTGGAAGCGAGAAACGAATGTATGCCTAGTCTGAGCCAGGGCTCATAACCTATCAAAGGTGAAGAGACTCGGACTAGAGAAACTAAGGGCGAGAACAGAACTCAGTCTTGGTTCAAAAAGACTGAGGGAGATTGTTCGACGAGAGGAGGAATTAATACGTTTGATTGGGACGGAGAGTCAATAGGAAACGTGTATGACGCATGGTAGGAGGAGTGTTCGTGTATGTAAAATGAAAAGGCTAAGTACGTGTAAGGGTCATATCTTGATACCCTATATATGAAGACGCCATGCACAAGGGACGTGGTGAAGGACTGTGGAATGACAGTGAGCTTGATTGGTTCGAGACCGGGGGAAGAGAAGCCCCACTCACACATATTCCAGTGTAAAGCGCCCAGTCGCTGTCTTCCTGTCAGAAAACGCCTTGGTAAGTCACCAACGATACTAACGTTGACATATAGCCATAGAAACGGGGTGTATCATCGAACTCCATCGTATGAATGCACGATATCCGAGTAGTAATTGCCCTAGCAGGACTTCCAGTAGCCTGTACATATATTTTCCATAGAGACTCACATTTGAGCAGCTTGCATCAACCTGTAACGCACAACGTCAGTCTTTCCGTCCACTGCTGCATGCATAACATGCATATTTACCAGATGAAGGCAACCTGTTTTGCCTTGTCAGCGATTAGTTTGTGATATGCAACGTAAATTCGTACCAGAGCTTTGCTCTGCCTGTTCTCCCGAGATCGAATTCTACGTCTCCAGAAATAAATACAGACTTGTGCGGTCAAAATCAAGAAAGTTCTATCGGCCTTCGTTAGTATATGACTGGCGTCGATAGGTTCTCGATAACACAATCATACATAAATGATATACCAAAACCAGTTATCAGGGAAACCATGTTTCTGGTAGCGAAACTATGTGCCGCCACGACTTGGGCCATTGTGTGAATGCAGTTGTTGCTGGTTTCTGATTTTTTTTGGAGGATGAGATGTAGGTCGAAGGGACTTTGGAAGAGTAACCATACAAGCGTGTGCTATTTAGCATCACTGATAGTACAGATAGCCGCATAGATGTTCCGGCCAGAGCACAAAAAGGTATGAGCATAACGCTAGTAGTACTGATCTCTGACTCAGAAAGGCTAGATCAATGATCCAGGCTGTTCGGCCATTTTTGTAACATTTGTCAATGAATTGTGGCTGTGAGTCAACTAGTTACCCTTGGCCGATACTTTTTCGATCGCGAGATCCACCTCACACTCCCCAGCGCCATCTCGACTCTGCTCGACTCCTTATAAGAGACAGATGTCTACCAATACCAGTACTTGCGGCTATGCCATAGTCCATATCACCCATGACAAAAATCAGCGTGGCATGTAGTTGTGATCCAGGCGGTACGGAGCGCTCTGAGAGCAAGTAACGGACGGGTTTAAACTTCCCGATTCGGTATGTCATAATAATACTTATTCAAACACCGCCGTCGGACCCGCGGTAAAGCTTACATAAGGGTTGTGGCATACTCAAGGGTATGACCATTCGACATGTGTATACTAGCTGGCTTACTAGAGTTCTCATCAATACTGTCTGCGATACTGGCCACCAGCCCTTCCTGCCCCGTCGTTCTGAAGGACTGACGATGATTTGCAGCCTCTGGCTTCACTCCGTTCGGCCGTTCGGGGTCCCTCGCCCTTCGGATGGAATTTTTAATCGAAGTTCCTGGACCCTAGAAGACCTCATTCCCTCTTGTTCTCATTTTAGTATCGAAATCCATCGATAAGCCTTCACACCATTTAAGAGGTATTTTAAGCGTATATTAAATGTTCATCGACTATTCGCAGGGTGGTGTATTGTTCCATGTCAGGTTGAAGTTGGCAGACTGTGCTTCACAAGGTTACAATTGACTTGGGCACGCAGAACTTTACGAGTGGAACAATCGAGCTATCTACAAGAACGATCGGTCACAGTGTTAAATGGCATATCTGGCATCATGAATGTACGATTGGAAAACGAGCTCGTTCTTAACCTCACGATTGAACTGGTTTATGCAAATTCAAAAGTATGTTCTTTCTGATTCGCGTCTGATCGATTATTGATCTCGAGAACCACCTTCATAGATCTACAAATGCGGAAACGAGGTATGCCCCCGTCCAGGCAGCTATCGATAGTACCGCTCAGATAAGGAAGACGATCCTCCTTGCGAATGGTCAGGATGCGGTCAGAGGATGAAACTCATTCGCCATGTTTTTTTCGTGGACTGTCCTGGTCACGTCTGATGTCTACCATGCTTAACGATGCCGCAGCCATGGATGACGCTCTTCAGCTAATTGCAGGAAACGAAACATGCCCTCGGCCGCAGACTTCAGAGCACTTGACCGTAGTTAAAATCATGCAGCCGGAAAGCATCATTATCTTGCAGAACAAGGTCGACTTGATCAGGCTCTTGAGTACCAAAAATCAATCGCTGCATTCGTCAAGGGTGGGCCCTCGGCGGGATGGATCATTTAATGCTGTACTAATCATCGACTACTGCTGAGGCACGTTCGCAGAGCTTGATATATTCACTGGTGGGTCTGCCAGAGAGACGATTTCGAACCCAGTGGAAAGGGCGGGGTCGCGAAGACGTATCGTGGGCGTCAGGGTGAAGTAAAGAGGAAAGTCGGTCACAAAGGGTGCTTGCACGTGACGCCCATGAATGAGGGTGCTGAGAACATGCAAGTTGCAATAGGATCTCAGCACGTAGGACCTGATCATAAAAAGTGTCACGTACAGCAACGACCGGCTTGCCCAACAGAAGTTTACTAAGGCTAGCTTTTTTTAGCATCCCAAAAACGTCCCCAAGTGTGCGCATTATTGTCGCTGCAGCCAGTAGCTTTCCATATGCCAAAAACGACACAGAACGCACAACATGTGGATGCTGGAGGGGTGGACCGATGGGCTGGTTGTTGTCGAGGTTCCATAATCGTGCTGTGTTGTCCCAGGATGCGCTCGCGAGGATGCGGCCGTTTGGAGATATTGCAATGGATTCGACACACCTACGCCTAAGGTACTCATCGGCCAACACTGCGGTCTGTTTCCAAGTTGTAGTACTCCATGTACTAATCGAGCCATTGCGCAACCCTGATATGAGCGTTTTTCCATCCAGAGTCCAAGCTAGGCACCGCACCCAATCGGTTTCAAGAGCAGCGACGAGCTTGCCTGTCTTGGCATCCCAAATTTTGGCATGCTGTCTGGATCCGATGCTAGTTGCAAACATGGTCATGTCCGGCGAGTAGACACCTACACAGCTGTATCCGTCGGCCTTGGTTGGTGCGAGGTTAGCCTCCCATTGTCTTGCACTCCGGTCAGACTGCAACCCTCAAGGAATGTAAATACAGTGGATATCTAACAACTTCTCGACACATACGTACGATGATATTTTAAGTCTAGGCAATTACGACGAAACCGATGGCGAGATGGTGATATTATGTCTAAATGATTATCATAGAGTCATAGCCACTCGACTTAACAGGAAGACGCTTTCGAGGAATGTGTTCCCTCTTGCATTGCCAATGTTTCCTGTTGCCCTGAGTTATTGTCTGGCAAGCCTACATGAATCACCTGCGTGAAAGGTCCAAAACTGATTTCGGAAACCTCGGGTTCGTGGGATGTCTGTGGCTGCAAGTAGGATTCCCGAGCGATGAAGCTGAGCAAGATATCAGTAATCTCTTCTATTACCCCTGAGAATGACTCACTTGGCGAGAAGACATGTAGCATATGCTGACAAGCCAGGACGTTAGAATATTCCGTGTACTTGAGTTGATAACAACAAGACACTCACAGCCTCCAACAGGAAAACACATATATAGATGGTACATATCGAAACGGCAAGCTGCCCACTGCATCTTAGTCAGAGACATAGTCAATGCTCGAGATGAAGCACTCACAATTCCAATCGCGATGCATGCCGCCACGCTACACAGGAAGCGGTGAGTACACATCCATTGTCAATACTAAGGAACTTGCGTTGTAATCAGACCCGTTTGTGAGCAGAATATGATGAGTTTCATGATCATTTGGTTAGTTCTGAGCACGAAGACGGTCAATTATAGAGGTAAATTTCATACTCGAATTCACTAATCACCTTGGCGATACAGTCCTGTGTTTGTAGAGAATATATACCAAAGTTCCAGCGATAAGAACATCATTGATTGCTGAACAACCAAGCGAGATCGAGGTAGACCACTTCATCCTTGTGAGTTGCCAACATCCCAATCAAAGGTAGAACAAGCTTACCATAATCATGACTTGCCAGTGATTGTTACCCAGTTTAGCGCTGTTTCCCGTATTTGAGAAACAATTGACGGGGCGACACTGATAAAATTGGACCTACATGAAGATTGCACTAAGGAAACCAAAAACTATGTTTCTGTGATTAAGCAGTGATTATCCGTTGCAGAATAAGCTACCGCACCTTGCTCCATGACACAAAATGCAATCTGATTGGGGCAATTAGTCACTGTTTCCAAAGTAGCCAAACGCAGTGCCTACCAGAACGAACGATATTCTCCGTTTACCATAGAAACTTTTCTCAACTTCACGCGCAAGTCAAAAAGAAGCATGATGGTAGTACTTCAGCAGCACGTACGTCTGAAAACCCTAGATATGAAAACACTATGCACGAGGGACGTGGTCAAGGACTGTGGAACGACAGTGAGCTTATTCGTTCGAGAGCGGGGGAAGAAAAGCCCTCACCCATATTCCGGTGTAAAGCGCCCAGTCGCTATCGTTTTGTCAGAAAACACTTTGATGAGTCACCGACGATACTAACATCGACATATAGCCATTGAAATGGGATACGTCATCGAACTCCATCGTATGAATGCACGATAACCGAGTAGTGATTACCCTAGCAAGGCTTCCAGTAGCCTGTACATATATTTCCTATAGGGACTCACATTTGAGCAGCTTGCATCAACCTGTAACGCAACGTCAGTCTTTCCGTCAACTGCTGCATGAAACGCATAATTAGATATTTTTACCAGATGAAGGCAACCTGTTCTGCACTGTCAGCGATTAGTTCGTGATATGCATCCTAAATTCGTACCAGACTTTTGCTCCGCTTGTTCTCCCTGGATCGAATTCTACGTCTCCAGAAATAGATCCAGACTTGCGCGGTCAAAATCAAGAAAATTCTGTCGGCCTTCGTTAGCATACGACTAGCACCTTCTCAATAACACGATCATACATAGATGATATACCAAAACCAGTTACCAGGGGAGCCATGCTTCTGGTAGCGAAACTATATGCGGGCAGGAATTGGGTCATGGCGCGAATGTCGTTGCTGCTGGTTTCCGATTCTTCTTTGGAGGATAAGATGTAGATCGAAGGAACTTCAGAAGAGTAACCATAGTACAAGCGTGCGTGCTATTTAGCATCACTAATAGTACAGGTACTAACCACATAAAGCCATTGGTAAATGACTCTCAGCCACAATCCATTGATGAAGGGCGCTGACAAATGTTGCAAAAATGGCCGAATTAGGCTTATAGGTAAATGATCTAGCCTCTCTGAGTCAGATGAGTCAGTACTAGTTTTTACTAGTATGTGACTAGTGGTAACTGAGCGCTACGCTCATGCCTTTTTGTGCTCTGGCCGGCACACCACCCTTGATCATAGACAGCACAGCCGATATCCCTTTTATACGATCAGCCTAATCATACCTCCAAAGAAGTAGAATGCACCAAAGTTCAAGTTCGATCGCGAGATCCACTTAACACTCACCGGCCATCTCGACGTGACAACAGGTAGACGCTTTCCAATGCCAGTGCGGCTATGCCATAGTTCACATATACACCGTCCCGTCAGTCCTATTTCAAATTTCTGGCTGGGTGTAATCTCCACGGCGGGCCGGAAAGTCGTTACCGTACCATCCACGGGCACGGGTACACACTGACCCGTAAATGTCACGGGTTCTAGATGACACCGCGGGTACATGAACGAGAAGATTATATGCCAAAGTCTTAGCGCCCTTTGCGACAGCTCTTTTGGGCGACTTGGCCTTCTCGTGGACGACGAGATAGACTGAGACGATATCTCAGTGTGACTTGGTAGATCTGAGGCATCGGACGCCTTTTTTGGGAGCTTCAATTGTATTTTCATGGAAAGACAACTCGAAGTGGACTTGATACTGGTCTTAAGTTTTTGCCTTGGCTTTATGGTAGTGACTCGAGCTTCTCTGTAGCAATGTGTCAGCTCGGTAAATTGTTAAAATGATTCACGGGAAGAAAAAAAAACAGTAAGTTCTCAGAGAGCACGGTCACGGGTTAAATTTCCCGATTCGGTAAGTCATAATAATACTTACTAAGAGTACCCAAACACGACCCGCGGTAAGGGTCGTGGTATGCTCAATTGCAAGGGTACGACTACATGTGTATACTAGGTGGCTTACTAGAGTTCCCATCAATACTGTCTGCGATACTGAAACGCAAGCCTTCAGTATCACTGCCTTTTGGCGTACTGATTGGGTGACAGTCTCGAGTAAGCTACATTGTGCAGCTAAAGCGCCTCTAGTTTGTTTATGATCATGAATTGCATTTCGTGGTCAATATACACATCTCATCACATACCTCAATTCACTGATGTCTCAGCATGAAATCACCGCACGTGAATCTCGTGGCATAGCTTCGATGTATTGCGATAACCCTCCAGAAATGGTCAAGACTGTGTCTGTCCTGAGAAAGCATCACGGAGCCTAACACCTAAAATAACAGAGGCTGAAGCGCTGATGTGCTGTAGACAACGACACCCTCAGTCCGACAATCGGGTAATGCAATACCCGGGAGGCGTCGCACTTCTTGGGAACAGTGATTCGGTACCGTATTACGTCTGTATCGTGAACAACATGGTATTGCTCCGCTGGGCGTCTGTATCGTTGAAATCTTCACAGCAACGCCGCAGACTGCGTGGACATCATACACAGCACGCCCGGGCCTTTCAAGATACTTGACGGCTGTAGAGTTGGAGTCGATGATATGGCGTGAGCAGGGCGCGGGTAGGATATAGTCAAAGAGACAGTCAGACAGCAATGGATGTGTTTGTGTTTCAAGTGCAAACTTCACAATAGTAATAACTAGATCGCGAAGTTTTGAACTCCAACTGTTAGCCGAGTTGTCGCTGTGGCTGCAGATCTCGATACAACATAAGCTGAAAAGATCGACCAGAAAGTTAACTGACGTTGGTTGATCCGAGGAACAAAGGGTTGTCCGTTTTTTCTTGAATGAAAACAGTGAGATTAAACAGACAGTAGTCGGACCGAACGCGGCGGGCACAACATTAAATGTCCATGTCATGTAACAAGATAGATAGCTGGATATCGCATTCAACCATCAATATACCTTGATGATCGGAACGCGATGTAAGCATCATAATGGGAGTGCTAGTGAGGTGCGGTCCGGGTGAAGAGACAAAACAACAACAACAAATACGAAGAGCTGTTGACTCGTAACAATATTACTAATTTACGGCGCACACTCGAGTTTGCGATCATCGCGCACAAAGGATCATTATTTTCTGCACCTACTCATTTATCTAGTGATCTTATCACAGAAATCCTGTGAAACAAAGGGATGTGGACGTTTGGTACTACTAGTAAGTGCATGAACCAAAGGGTTGCGCGAGTCCATCAAGGATGAGCGACTGATCTCTGTCTACACCATGAAGTACATATCCCAAGGTCTCTCATGAAAGTCATTC